TATATTCAAGAACGGAAATCCTGCATATTTTCTTCCCCCTCTTGACAGAATAGCCAAATCTCCTACATTGGTCCCACATGTAGTGTGTAATGCGTGTTTGTTTGCATGTCAAAATGCTTCCATTCATGGCTTTACTACAGAGATGTGTGGTTTTGGCACTTGACGTGGCCCGTCAAAACAAAACCGCCTCCCAGCTCATCTGGCAGGGGAGTGCAAAACAAAGGCCCTCATTGGATGAGAGACAGAGCCATGATGTCCCACCGATGCTCCGGCTACAGGAGCTCACGGACAATACAGTAATCCCTCGTTTATCGCGGGGGTTACGTTCCGAAAATGACCCGCGATAAGTGAAATCCGCGAAATAGAAAACTTTTTTTTTTTTTACAATTAGCAACTATTACATGTATACAAATACAGTGACTCGCGTGTAGGCCGTTTCACTGCTCTTCAGACTGGGCCGCTGCATCGTGACTGCGCTCTGCAGTGTTCTCTTCTTCTGAAGCCCGCGGTGCAGGTGTGTTTGTTCGGGAGAAGAACATAGTGATAGGCAGCTGTTGTCGCTCTTTTTTCTTCTTTGCAAAAAGATCCTTGTACACCGACATGCCACCATCGATTACGTTGGAGAACTGTAATGAACGGCTCGGGAGTGAGTTTTTAGCGAATCAGAATGCAGAGCACAATGCACCAAAAAAAAAAAAAAATGCAATATGAAAATCCGCGAAATAGCGAATCCGCAATAAGTGAACCGCGAAGTGGCGAGGGATCACTGTATCTCCATGTGTCTTCCATTTAGACCATACGTCAGCAGTTGTTGTTTTTTTTTAGTTATTTTAGTCTCATTTTAACAGAATGGGATACGCAAGATTCCTGAGACCAGATTTTTTTTATTTCTTGGACCCATCAGTGTACTGTTTATCAACACATGCCATGACAATAAAATGATTCATGCTAAAATAACGGAAATGACAACATGTGAGTCACTTTACTGATTTAGTAATGTGATCATCTGCTCCAGTCAACTAGTAATCTGTTATTCTTCTCAACTTCACAATCACCGTTGACCATAGGACTGCAGGACATTCTGTTACATCATATTTTATTTGTTGTCCTATTTGGGGTTTCTTTGCATAATTGGGGAATGGCAAAAACTACAGTGCTGAAAAACTTTTTTTATTTTAAAGCAACGGTCCATGGATATATTTTGCTACTGGTCATTCTTCTGGATACTTTGTTAATGTGTTGGTAGGTGTTATTTTTATGTTATGTCAGCAGAAAGTCACCAGAAAAAGCTAACTGTTGACAACCATTGTTGTAGGGACCCAGCTGTCAGAGTGTGTATGTGCACCTGGTGGGCAGGTGGGGGGGTAGAAGGCTGCTTCCCTTTGCTCTGTCTGAGCCGTCAGTCACTGTCCTACAGGCAGAGCAGCAGCGCTCTTAATACCGGGGTTTAAAATCATTGTGCGCCCTCTGCAGATTATCACCGTTCTCACACCTCATCTGTTCACACCGCTAGCTTCTCCCTCCCCGCTCCCAAAATGTACTCCCATTTCATCTTCTTTTTGTTAAGTTCTCTGCATTCTTTGTGTCGTTTGCCCCTGAGTCTGAGCGTCGTCCTGTCACGTTGTCTCAGTCTTTTGGCTGATGAAGTGACATTGCCCCTCCTCGCTAACATGGCACCTCCTCATCCAAAGTCTGCCTCCACTGTATCGCCTCAGGCCTCCATGGGAACTGATGCCATACAAACCGTGACCCACTTCAAAAGACGGCGGACACACTCGCACACAAAGAGCACAACAGATCCACGAGATGAGCTTCAAATCTTAAGTGTACACAGGTTGATCTTTCCCACTCTTTGAGCTTGCAGCTACATCCATTTACTTTCTCACAACTCGCCTGTTTTTTGTTTTGTTTTTTGCGCTTGCGCTTTTTTAATGTCTCATTTTGGTAAGTGCACATGTGTTTGCTGCCCCGGCTGAAGGGTCGCGATGTTGTTTGAGCAACAGGTGCGATGACACCTGACACGGGGTCGCATCTGCATCCGAGCAGCCCATTAGAATGTGCTGCACGAGCTGCGCCACGGTGTGATGAATGCGTTGTTTATGTGAGGATATCTGTTGATGTCAAAACAGTGCAGATCTTTATAGAAGCCCTCTTCTTCGTAACCCTCTTCACGTTAATTGTGACAGGCAATATTCACCTTTTTTCGTCTTTGTAATCCATAATTCTTATTAAACCTTTTTCGTTTACACCAAGCAGTGGAGTAAAAGGAATAGAACATCAGTTCTTATTATACCCGCTATTTGAATTTGTTTAGTGTCCCCTCCCCCAATGACAATGCTCCTGCGTTGGATCTGTTTAGGGTCACACTCACCATGTGCACCGTGTGAAGAAAGCAAGGTGTTTCTGATCATGGACACGTTGCGTAGCAGAGAAACCTGCACAACCACATTCTGGTCAATTCTCTAGTGAGCGTCACCACTAAGTGCTTTGCTCTTGAGCCTCCCTGTTTTTAGCTTTTTTTTCAGCGAGGTCCACAGCCAGTTAAGCCTGCTGCTTCCAAAACGGTACTTCTCAACCTATGAGCCGTCACAAGCTCCATTCGTGGTGAAATGTGTACTTTTTTTTCTTTTCTTCGAGGAAATCTTTGCAGAATAATTGGATAATCTGTGATTCACCACACCTCAGATTTCCTCTTAGAGGAACCCAAATCTATTGTTATCGGTCGGGGGGGGTGTCTTGACCAGACTTTGTAAGTGGAGCTAAACAGCCAGGTGTTTTCATTAAGACACACATCTGCCTCCACGCTTATTGAATTGAAGGCCGTTATCGGGCCCCTCCAAAGGCACCAAGTGGCGGCTCCATTGGCGTTTAGCCTTTCGGCGACCTGGCCCTTATGGTCAATGTCTGCCGCGCAAACAGTTTACCCCCTTTATTTTGTGTGTGATCGCAACCCGATTAGCCGGATCATTAGCATTGTTAGCGCGGCCTGGTTGACAAAGCCTTTTGCCCACTCTGGGGAGAAAGAAGGGAGTGCAACAACTCCCATGGTTTGGCTGTAGGTGGCATTTCTGCTTCCCATCCCACGATCAATCCGCTGCAGTCTTAATAAAATGCCCGTCGGCTCGATGGGAGTGTTCCACATTCAAAGCTGCGTGAGCTTGGCGATCCGTTCCAGCCGTTCAGTCACTCAGCTCGTTTTGTTTCTTCTCAGTTGCACAGTTTCACCAAATCACTTCATTTGTTTGTGGTGAGGTTTTGGGCTTAATAATGAAATTGTGTATTATCAGTTACAGCTGAAATGACTGTTTAATGGGAGCTTGAACTTTTAACCTGACGATCTTTGACCACCCTCCTTCACCCTTGTTATTTAAAATACCAACAGATGGTCGCTCTGTCAATAGAATACCATGATCCCATGTCAGGTTCTGGCGACGGTGCATGTGTGGAGCGTGTATTTTTTTTTTAATGTTTCTATTTGTGCCTTTTTTTTTTTCTTTTTCTTTATCTGTTTTTGAATTAAAACCGCGATTTGAAACCGGCTCCACAGTCATTTACCAGTAGCCGGACTGATTGCGTCACAGCCAGCTTTTTAAGGGGACATGGAACTCGGCGGAAGTTGCCACCGGAGCTCAGTGACATTTGGCAGAGGTGGTGTGTTTTTGTTTAGGGTGCAGCATGTGTCATTCAACACTTGAGTGCCAAGTGTAATGGCTCCCTCAAGGAAAGAACCCCTCTGCGAGCTCCTCTATCCCGGTGTGCCTCGATACTTTTGCACTCTTGCTCGCTGGCCTGCGTGCGCCTCCGATGCAACTCGCCACTGGTCTGGAGTCGCACCGGTAACGTCCCCGCCCCCCTTTTTCAGCACAGGATAAATTGGCATGGCTCCATCAGTAAAAGGGACGGATGTAATGTGACTCTGTCACTTGCTAAACAGTGTGGTGAGGTGAGATGAGTCGCCATCATTAAGCAGACCCTCCAACTAGTTGCATTTCAAAACAAAGACTCATCTCCCTTGTAAAAAATCTCAGTGGGGATTTGTTTTTGAAAAAAATAAATCACAGTTCAACCAGCTCAACGGCGGGTATTCACACTTGTGCTTCATGGTGTTGCAGGGTCCGCAGGTCTGGGGGTGGACGCGCATGTAAGGGCATTAAAGCGCCGAGGAAACTTACTTTTAGCATGCTCAATATTTAATCTGTAATAAAGATTCAAAAAGAGTGTCCTTGCGGTTTCCTTCCCTGACTCCTCACAGGTTTCAGCTGTTGTGGTGAATCAGAATGCGCGGCTTCTCGCTGTGGACTTGTGCGGTGCTCAATAGAGGAAGTGGTTTACTCTCCGGTTATGTCAGAGCATGGCATCACACGAGCGCATTCCTCAGCTGGCTCACTTTGGCAGGTATATGGGAGACACCACCCAGGCCAAAAAAAGGGACCGGCCGGCTCCATGTAGAACACAACAAACACTTCCACAGAGGCCTTTCACAGGGAGCCTCGACAATTCCTTTCTTCTTGTTCGTTCTCTTTTTGTTTTTGTTTTTAAAGTTACTAGTTACATTTTCTAATTATCCAAATTCCGAATATGAGTCAAATTGAAAATGTCTTCTGTCTAATTAATTGTGTTCTGGGATTTTAAAAAGACACTACGTTCCACTATTTAATGGGCTTGGAGGTCCCCCAAGGAGATTAAAAGACTCACAGCTCCGCGCTGACTCTGTCAACAGCTAGCGCCAGATAAGAGGACTTGTTGAGAGCTTGAAGCACATTAGTTAGTGGCATGACGTTTTGGAGCTCCGCGTTGTGTTGACTGATTGCACAAAAAAAGTACAGTATTTTCTTTTTTATTAAACTTGTTCAGATTACGTGTTATTGAACACGCACAATCAATACTACCTTCTTTTTTTTGTTTGTTTTGTCACTTGTTGCAACTGTTGGAGTACAAACCTTGATGTACTGATGTACTACATCTCCCGTACATGCCAACTTAGCTTTGCTCTCTTTCAGCAGGGAGGCGTGGATGATGCTTAAAGGTTTCCCGGCAGCGATGGCCTGAGGGACTCTCTGGACTGAAACCAAGGTGAGAAGCAAAGCCAACTCTCACACAAACTGTGCAGTGCGTCGAGCGGACACTCCAGGCCAAACACACAAAGGCCCGACTGTGCAGATGAGGCAAACATGCAATTTCTGATCATAGACGAAATTGGAGTTTTCGTTTTCCGATAAGCAACATTATGGGAACCTTGTTTACTGGTTTTGAACAGTGATTCGGTTTCGTACACACGTGAGAGGCTCTTAATTCTCCGCCCCCTTTGCTCCAAGCGGTCCCACCGGTTCTTCATTGCGTGCTTTCCAGATTCTGTCAATTACAGCTGCAAAATTCCAAAAAAACAACCCCCATTCGCTCTGTGAGGTGGCATTACTTAACTTTAATTTAGAATTCAGATGGTGTAAGTTTGTCTTTTAGGATTACTGCGTTGCCAGCGGCTCTTACAAAACCATTAATGTGTTTTGAGTGGACTCAAACTAATAGTTTGCATGAGCCGTTTGTTTGGTTGCAGTTAGTGGAAATGGACTTTAGCTTCATTAAGGTACTGACTTTGTACTGCTGTGTATGTGCACCTTTTTGTGGTCCCAAACACAAAATTCATTCTTCCCTCGCCCTCTAAATGAGTTATATAGTGTGTGTGTGTGTGTGTGTGTGTGTGTGTGTGTGTGTGTGTGTGTTTTCTCACAGAATATAGCGCAGGTCAAAGTTGTGTACTTGAATACTTAATTTATTTATATATTAAAAATGTAAAGCTAATTAAATGTGCCGTATCGTCCTGCTGGGAGTTGTATTACACCTGTCGAGAGTTCTGAGCAATACACGGACGTCTATTCGCCTCTTCAGACTTAATTGAAAGTTTCCCGTGTTTAGCCGGAACACATGGAGGGGTTTAATGCCTCGGAAACCCACAGTCCAAAATGAACTCTATTCCTCAACGAGGCTTGTTGAGGTGTAGACCTCCTCGCACAATCTGTCTTTTTCTTTTTGGCCACCATGACCAACATGGCAGCAGTCGGCGCTTCGAGCGTTGTCGGTTCGCTTTTCTTGTCAAATACAATAAAGAAAAGACCACAAAAGTATATGTGGCAATTCTGACATCTAAATCGGCCTCTGCAATTGGTTCCTTTTGGCATCCTTTACTTATCCACACACACACACACACACACACACACACACACACACACACACACACACACACAGGCCGAGAATTCTGAGCTATCCCTCTTTCCCATCCTGCGACATCCTGAAGTGAGTGCCAGAGTTAAAGATTCATGAGCGTGATCAGCTTTCAGTAAATGGTGGGAGGGGGGGTGGCTGGCTCCTGGTTGCACTCTAGCACTTTACAGCCATTACCTTGCAGTGATCCTGGAGCTCATTAGTCTACTAAAGAGAGGTATGTACCTTCACTGCGACCACGTGGACAGTGGCTTGTGTGTGACTTCAATCAAGTAGATGTACCTTGAGTACTGTGTCACCGATTCCCCCCTCCTTCCAATTCCAGTCTCTCTCATTTTTCTCCCCAGCTCGCTCCCTAACGTCGGCCGGTCCCTCTGCAGGTTCAGAGCCACTAGAGTGTTGTCAAATTCAAGGTTCAATGTTTCACGTTCACATTGTGCTTAATCTCTTTCAATCCCTCATCGCATCGGTCCCCGCGCCTCTCCGTTGGCCCAGACCGAGCATTGGAACATCTGGTTCAAGGTAGCGGCAGCTGTCAGCGAGTTCGTCGCGGACCCCCACCCAAGTGGCGTTGTGCTGGAATGGATATGTTTTTTTGTTGTTTTTAATAGCGCCTGTCGTGTTTCCAACGCGTTCCCGTGTGATCTGGCTCTCTCGGCACTTCTTCTCACCCTCGCATATATCAATATGTAAAAATGAGAAGATTGCAAATCCTCTGGGCCCCCCCCCTCCCAGTCTTCAGTTTGGGTAAAACAAATGGCGCGTGTTGCAGCACATCAGAAGCAGTCCTTTCTGCCGCTTTGTTGATCCGCTTCTCTCTCGGGCCCCGAGAAAGCCACGTGAGACAGATTACGTACCGGGGGACACATTGTTCAGGGGCCCCCCATTGCACACAGTTACAAGGACGGCACACCATCATTTTTTTTTTTTGTCCGGGCAGCCTCAGGTGAAGTTAAAGGTTTACTTCCTTCATTTCCTGCAGTCGGATACAGTGTGTTGTGTACAGGTTGTGCCCGCTGAATTTGACAGGAAGAGATTCTATTGTTGTTGTCGTCGTCGTCTCCAGCTCTTCGGGCAGCGACAGCAGCAGCAGCAGCCCCTTGTTGTTGTTTCTGCATTCCTGCCCCGCCAGACTGGTTGGGTCCAGCTCAGTCCTGGAGAGTCTGCTCCTGTGACACCTAAGACATGAGCAATAGCACACCTATGATCCCCTCCCTTAAGTGCACCCGGCGCTGTCAAATTCAATGGATTCTTCAGACTCCAGCTTAACCCCAGTATGCAGTATGTTTCTTTTTATATGCATTTTGCTGAGGTAACATAACAATATTGTTGCGATACTGTATAATGGGGGAAGTTTCCAACACCGTAACACAGAGTTTCATTACAGTAAAGTGATGTCATTTCCCAGCTGTTAGGCTATACCCACTTACTGATTTAGTACCTAATAATAAAAGCAACCTGTACTGTGGAAAACACCAACCCTACAGTATTGTTGCAATACCGTAAGCGAGGTATTTGGTCAGAGAATATTCTGATACTTCATTTTCTCCCATCGGTCCGCACTTCTCTTTGCATACTGGTCATGAGATCATCAGGTTCAGATGTTGCAGAGGCACCACTGTGCTTATTACAGCCGTGCAATAACAGCCCTTCATTTAGCCCCATTAGTCAGTCACACAGGGAGGCCACGGTGAGGATGAAAACCAGTAACGCACTGAGTTCACACTGGCAGCGCTGACACAAATATACTATTATGGTTGCCGTGTGTGTCTTTGCGGGACGGAGACGGGAAGGAGTGTTTACTACACTTACCTTAAGTGGGAACTGAGCTCATCGCAACTTCAAAGTCTAAACAAACTGCACGGAGGGTTTATCCGCTCGTCTAAACCTCACGACCCCCGGAAAGTCTTCGGAGCGGACTTTCCCCGATGTCAGCGCTCTGCCCGCAACCGCGAGCAGTCGGCCAAGCCGACCGAAGATAGCAGTTCATGCCTGCGAGTGTAAAACGGGTCCACATCCTTCCTTCTCAAGACGAGAAGGCGCCTCGCGCTGACGGCTGCGGCCGCATGTCTCAAAACTTACTGTGCCGCCGAACTTAACGAGCCGACAGCTCGATGAACTGCAAACCGGAGAGATCCCCTCCAGAAGTTTGACAAGCAGTTCAGCGTGTAATGAATTCCCCCCTCCCCCACCCACCACTTACCCTACACCGCCCTGCGTTAATGATATCCGCACACAGCACAGGTGCGCTCTCACCGTTACCCGCCACGTTGCCGCGGCTACACAAAGCCGCTGTCCGCTCAAGCTACTGTTGACATGTTGACATTTATGCATGCATGCTTTTCTTTTTTAACTAAAAATCTAACTGTTTTCCACCACAGTTTAAAGTTCTTTAATGTTAAAAATTAGAAAGTTCCTTTTTACTTTGCTTAATGAGGGGTAGATTGGTTGGTTGTTGTGTGCGATCTTTAAGTTACAGAAGTGAGTGAATAGTTGCATGCGCCCTATTGAAGGTAGATGGGTAGGCGTACAAAGGGACAGAGCTCAGATTTGTTCTTTTTATTTTGAACAACAATGTATATTGTTCCTCTGAGAGTAAGAAACATGTTCCTCCGCACGAGAAGTGGAAAGAGATGACCTTATCCGTCCTAGACACACAACGTGGTTGAAGCACTTAGACCTCATTTCCACTGCATGGTTGGACTGGACTTACTTTTTGGGAACAGGTCCTTATTTCCCTATTTCGTTATCCGCTGCGATTCTCAGCTGCAGAGTTAAACTGTTGTGAAATAATTTGCTCATCGTTTTATCTGCCACCCAAACAGGAACGCTCGACTTTTTGTACTGCTGCTATTTTTATATATATATAATTACATCACGGGTCATTTAGCTGACTCTTTTATCCAACAATAAATATATATATATATATATATATATATATATATATATATTTATATATATATATATATATACACTCACACATTTTTTGTTGACAAAAATGGCCTACATTGAGCAAAAAGGTTTGAGCTTTGCTCGATGAGGAACTCTGGACTTCTCGTGGCCAATGTCAATGATTTAACCTGTTGACAGCGCCGTACAGTAAGCACTCGCGCCCGGGTGTCTATATCTGCATCCGGCATTCCCCGTCGAGCGCCGATCCCCGCTAGTCTTCTCATGTGAAGATTGGATACCCCAGCAACAAAAGCCCTCTCGTGCGTGTGTGTGTGTGTGTGTGTGTGTGTGTGTGTGTGTGTGTTCCAACGTACACTGACCCACCATTACTGCCATGTCAAGGAGACGTAGGCAACCAATCACATCCTGGCCCGGCGGGACGAGCACAACCAATCCAGTCTAGAATCCCCATGGTAACTTGCGCTGGAAAGCCGGGGGACAACCAATAGGAACGGAGAGGGCCACTTAGCTGTGAGGGTTTTAATGGCCTGTTTCTGTTGTCATTAATAAAAGCGCACAACCCTCTGTTATGGGCACTGTTGTAATTACAGCGGCACCGCACAAGGACGCATGGACGCGCGCACGCCAATGTACGTGGGCAGGACTCGACAGGGCGGTGCAAGCGTGCTCGTACCCTTCGTTACCACTGCTTTGGCTTCTTCCTTTTGAGCACAGACCCTACCATTAGCCTAAAGTAGGTCACTCAAGGCCAGGAGGGAGCCACCCTCAAGTTTGCATGGTCACTGGCTCCCTTTTTTTTTTTTTTTTTTACAGCCTGCTTCTGCTAAGGTACGCTATTCCTCCCCGCTCTACACTCTGCTGTACTCTGTTATGCATTATGTAATGGCTGAGCAGCAAGCGCTGTTTGTCACCCGTTTTCATGGTTTGAGTGGCCGAGGGTGTATGACAACACAGCCCAGTCCAACCTTGTGCGTTGTGCTGAGGGTAGACGGGCGGGCGGGGGCACTTTATCTTTCTCTTACTCTTGTTTTCTGTCTATCATTATATCCTATTACATTACATGTCATTTAGCGGACGCTTTTATCCAAAGCGACGTACAATACAGTGCCTTGCGAAAGTATTCAGCCCCCTTGAACTTTTTGACCTTTTGCCACATTTCAGGCTTCAAACATAAAGATATAAAACTGTAATTTTTTGTGAATAATCAACAAGTGGGACACAATCATGAAGTGGAACAAAATTTATTGGATATTTCAAACTTTTTTAACAAATAAAAAACTGAAAAATTGTCCGTGCAAAATTATTCAGCCCCTTTACTTTCAGTGCAGCAAACTCTCTCCAGATGTTCAGTGAGGATCTCTGAATGATCCAATGTTGACCTAAATGACTAATGGTGATAAATAGAATCCACCTGTGTAATCAAGTCTCCGTATAAATGCATCTGCTCTGTGATAGTCTCAGAGGTCTGTTTAAAGCGCAGAGAGCATCATGAAGAACAAGGAACACACCAGGCAGGTCCGAGATACTGTTGTGGAGAAGTTTAAAGCCGGATTTGGATACAAAAAGATTTCCCAAGCTTTAAACATCCCATGGAGCACTGTGCAAGCAATAATATTGAAATGGAAGGAGTATCAGACCACTGCAAAGACCCGGCCGTCCGTCTAAACTTTCAGCTCAAATAAGGAGAAGACCGATCAGAGATGCAGCCAAGCGGCCCCTGATCACTCTGGATGAACTGCAGAGATCTACAGCTGAGGTGGGAAAGTCTGTCCAATCAGTCGTATACTGCACAAATCTGGCCTTTATGGAAGAGTGGCAAGAAGAAAGCCATTTCTTAAAGATATCCATAAAAAGTGTCGTTTAAAGTTTGCCACAAGCCACCTGGGAGACACACCTAATCATGTGGAAGAAGGTGCTCTGGTCAGATGAAACCAAAATGGAACTTTTTGGCAACAATGCAAAACGTTATGTTTGGTGTAAAAGCAACACAGCTCATCACCCTGAACACACCATCCCCACTGTCAAACATGGTGGTAGCAGCATCATGGTTTGGGCCTGCTTTTCTTCAGCAGGGACAGGGAAGATGGTTCAAATTGATGGGAAGATGGATGGAGCCAAATACAGGACCATTCTGGAAGAAAACCTGATGGAATCTGCAAGAGACCTGAGACTGGGACGGAGATTTGTCTTCCAACAAGACAATAATCCAAAACATAAAGCAAAATCTACAATTCACAAATAAACCTATCCAGGTGTTAGACTGGCCAAGTCAAAGTGCAGACCTGAATCCAATCGAGAATCTGTGGAAAGAACTGAAAACTGCTGTTCACAAACGCTCTCCATCCAACCTCACTGAGCTCGAGCTGTTTTGCAAGGAGGAATGGGCAAAAATTTCAGTCTCTCGATGTGCAAAACTGATAGAGACAGACTGATACCCCAAGCGACTTACAGCTGTAATCGCAGCAAAAGGTGGCGCTACAAAGTAATAACTTAAAGGGGCTGAATAATTTTGCACGCCCAATTTTTCAGTTTATTTGTTAAAGTTTGAAATATCCAATAAATTTCATTCCACTTCATGATTGTGTCCCACTTGTTGATTCTTCACAAAAAATTACAGTTTTATGTCTTTATGTTTAAAGCCTGAAATGTGGCAAAAGGTTGAAAGTTCAAGGGGGGCGATTACTTTCGCAAGGCACTGTAAGTGCATTCAACCATAGGGTACAAACTCAGGAGAACAAGAAAAAAGTGCAATTTCCTCAAATAAGCCAATTTACAGTTTGCTATAGATGAGTGACGTTAAAAGGACAATTTAAGTGCTACAATTAGTTAGTCTTTAGTCGAGGTAGAGTCTGAAGAGGTGTGTCTTTAGTTTGCGGCGGAAGATGTGGAGGCTCTCTGCGGTCCTGGTGTCTTCAGAGAGCTCGTTCCACCATTTCGGCGCAAGGACAGCAAAGAGTCGATCTAGTCGAGTGTTTTGCTCTCAGTGAGGGAGGGACGAGTAGTTTTGCAGATGCAGAGCGGAGAGTGCGGGTTGGGATGTCGGGTTTGACCATGTCCTGGATGTAAGCTGGACCCGATCCATTCACAGCATGGTACGTGAGCACCAATACTATTGAATCGAAATGGCTGCGGATCATACATCGGAATCTGAGTTTATCAGCTACCACCAGATTTTGGTGCAGACCGTGGCAATTAATAAGACATTACTTTGATCAATAATTGATCGTCTTTCATTAAGTAGCATGAAAGTTCGGCCCGTGCCCGCTCGCGTAGTAAGAGGGACCAAAGGAAATATAGGTTGGTGCGGATGCTTAACCTCCATAGTAGGACGAGTCTCCAAAGGCTCCCGAGTCCTTGTGAATATGTCTACATTTGATTTAGATTAGGAACACGACAGTAAATTGCTCGCTAAGCCCTCCACCGCCTTGTCACTTTAGATCGGTCGCGCCACATTAAATCCGTTCTAAAGATCCGGTGCTCTGTGGCCTGATTCCCGACAGAAGCTGACCAGACGTTATTGTCACGTTTAGTTTTCTTTTTTTAAGGTAAGCTCCGTACGCGGGGGAAAATCGTGTTGCGATCATGAAGCCACTGTGCTCTGACTGCAGGCTTCGCCTGATGCCGTGTAACGTGTTCTCGATACACGGCTGAGCGCGCAGTCTGGTGCTGTGGGCAAAGCGCCGTGTTCTCATTTCAGCCTCTCTGGGGAGAGCTCCACCATCAGAGAGAAATGATTGAATCTCTTTCTCCACTCCATTTTCACTCATTTCTCCAGGAGTGGATCAACCTGTGCCCCGAGCGCTAGATTGTAGTGTGTGTGTGTGTGTGGTATGCAGATATACACATGTCTGCATGCACACATGTTAACACTCAAGTGGTTTTCCACTAAATTCTGCCTTTTTTTTGGAGTTTGCAGTCAATCGATCACATATTCCATCAGTGTTTGAATAGATGTGTTTTTGTTATTTCCAGACGCTGATATGCATTGAGGATGAGTGGAGTCGGTGAAAACCCATCTGACCCTGCCAGGGCAGAGTCACGGAAACGCAAAGAATGTTCTGCCGAACTTCTGGGACCCAGGTGAGTCTTGTGCTTCGAGCCAATTGAGACATTTGTACTCATTTGACACAGCACGAGGGAATTTCTTTTTTAGGCTATGCGTTCTTACCTAAATTACCTAAAAACCTTTACAAAAGAAAGTCAGAAGCTTGATGTTTACGATGAAGCTCCAGCCATTTAAGTATTTTATACTCTCATTCTAGTAGTTGCCAAGAATGGCTGTGTGAGACTGTGACAGTTAACCCCAGAGCAGTGTTACAGTCCGTACAATAAATCTGCATAATATACCTGCAGATGGTTATTAAAGGATGGGGGGGGGGGCTCCCTTTTATTGATGTTGTGCTCCAGCTTGACACAATGAAGAGGCCTGGAGATACACTTCAAGCCATATGGAGAATAATTGACCCCTGCCTTCTGACTCCTCCATACCAAGGCCTGTAGTAGATGTAGATGTGCAGCTGGCACTTGGCAGCTGGTAAAAAAAGAGGGCTCTTCAGTCATATCGAGAGCTGTGCGTGCGTGCGAACGGACACTCATCCCTGGTGTACTTTTATAGATCTCTTTTCGGTGCTTTCGTGCAGCCCTGTCTGTCTGTTGTTGTGCTGGAATTGACCGTAGCCGTTAACACAAATTGCTTTTCATCCCTCCCGCTGCAGTCGAGTCCCCCCTTTCTGCTCCTTCTCACCCCGGTCTTCCCCTTTTGTCTCCGTAGTCCAAAGCGGAGCAACGAGAAGCGCAACCGCGAGCACGAGAACAAATACATCGAGGAGCTCGCCGAGCTGATCTTTGCCAACTTCAACGACATCGACAACTTCAACGTCAAGCCCGACAAATGTGCAATCCTGAAGGAAACTGTGAAGCAGATCAGACAAATAAAGGAGCAAGGTAAAAACGCTGAATGCCTTTTTTTTTTTTTTTTTGGATGTGTTTATCTGTGTCTCTAGATGAAAATAATCCACGGAGATTTAAAACAGGACAAACGTGAAAGGAATTCCATCATTGTTGGGCAAGTGCCTGCAAGGTTATCTGATTCTGGTTTGAAATGAAGCTACTATGAGGTGCTACCATATGAATTAAGATGCTTAGGATGCCGTAGCGGCTTTTGCGGCTCTGAATAGAGCCACGAGGGCCGCAGGTGGCACCGTCTTGGCAGAAGCTTCAGACCTGATGGCATTAACATCGTGGTTTGGGATCTGCTCCACGCTCAATAGTTGATTTTGTTATTAAAGAGCAAATGTTCCCTCCGGTGCCCTGTTGCAGGTCTCCCACTTCTACTGCGAGCCAGAACATCAGGTGAATGGATCAGCACCTGCAGTAGTACTTGCCGGTTTCTCATATATCTTTTTTTTTTTTTTGTGCAATTAGTCGAGGTCTGTGTTTTTACTTTTTTTCAACAGACCAACATCAATGTGATCCCTTTCTTTTATTATTCATTTGATTCCTTCCCAAAGGTCCAAAGCTAGCAAAAAGGTTATAGCCATTTATGTGGGCATTAAGGCCGATATTACACAGTTGTTAAAGCATACCGGGGAAAAAAGTGCCCGGGTAGACAAAGCGTGGCCCACTCAAGGTTCACATGAATCCGAGGGACTCATGATGTCAACTTGTTTTATGTGACTCACAGAGCCCGGAGCGTTATGTAATGGTGAGCAATGTGATGCAAAAAATTGCTTATTAACTCCGGCTGCCGTCTGACCGCCCCTCCCCCACTCTACTGTCTTATTTCATACTGCCCCTACCTCGCGCTCGTGTTTAAAGACAGTTTTTACACCGTGCTCGAGTAGCATCCCCGGGTTGTGTGTGAAGGCATGACTGCGTTTTTACAGCAGTCTCTGAGGAGAAAGGCCTAAACGCTCCCTGCTTCTCCGCTCCGCCAACAGACACATTGCCACAGGTAACGCAGGGTGTGTTGGGGGGGGGGGGCCTCGCCTCGTCTCGCAGGCTTCAGAGGGGCGCTGTTGAGTCAGGGAGGCGCAGAAAATTCCCGTACGAAGTCCTAATGCTCCAGTCGCTTCACTTCACCGACGCCATGTGTCCTCTTGGTTTCCATCTGTTCGTGCTGCATCTCTCTTTCTCTAGGCTCGTTATGAGCATCGTTACTGTGTGAAAGATATTCTCAGTTTAGGGCGGCGGTACTGAATATATGAAATTGCACAAATGGGATTCAATAATTCTCACTGATGGGTGTCACAGCCCTGCAGAGGCGTGCGATGCTGCCGCGGCCGCCTCTCGAGAGCGTGGCCCCCTCCTTGAGGCTGTTATTTCATCCCTGTTTGTTCCCCCCCCATGCTGCCCCACGTGGTTTCCCTCACTGAAATCAGGGCTGAGTCCGGTGCTGGGCACACATGTTTCACTTTTTTGCTTTCTTGCTAGACATTATGTTATGATATCTTTTATAGAGCTTATAAAATAAGGGCACCGCAACTTTACAACTTCCTTCACACCCTCATCTGCTCGCTCGTGCCAACAGCGCTCTCAGGCCACCGGCTCACACTGTTTACAGTAGCTGAGCCGTAGTTATGTTCATTATATGTGCTAGAAAAGGTAAAAATAACTAAAGAGATAAGACAATGGACGGAGAGCCGGTGAGGGCATCGCTGACGCTGAGTGATGGGTTTGCACCCGGGGCAGCTGTGCTGGTGTACTGGGCCCCGCTGGGCCTGAAGAGGTCCTGCTGATGCGCACGTCATTAATGCTGAAAGAGATGAATGTGGGGGTCCGGGCGGTGAGCCCGCAGTGGGTGGGGGGGACCTGCATTTCATTTGTGTCGGTGTTTGCTCATACAAACACACACACACACACACACACACACACACACACACACACACACACACAGGCGGGAAAAGAAAAGGAGGACATTTTTTTGTTTGCTTTTTCACCACAACATTCTCTCCCCATATGGTCAGCCCTCGTCTTGGCATGGTGCGACAGTTAAATATGTCCCCCCCACCCACCCCAACGGCCCACTCATATTCCGCCTCTCATCATCATCATCAGCATCATCATCTCCTAAAGTAGGGCAGCCTACGCTCTGAACATAAGGCTTCCCTGCATGGTTATTAACCCAATCACTCACATGGACAAACTCACCACGCCACAGTGCAGGTACTGGAGCTCACAGGACACTCTGATTTGAATTGTTTAAGTAAAACCCATCACAATAATTACATAAAAAGGTTTATGGCAGCTCCTTTTTGAGCCTGCAGCGCGACAAACAGTGTTGATTTGTTGAAACATCTGAAGTAAGTGGACCTGGTTCAGTTTTGGTAATATTCTGGATCATAAGTGCCTATATGCAATAAGTCCGTGACTAAGGAGTATCGATGCTCATGTGCCTTCCTGCCTGGTTCGAAATGAAGACTCACAAGGCCTTATGCTTTTCGATGCTCTGGAATCACTACCTTAAATCTCTGCTGTAACAAATATCAGACCAGCTTAAATATTTAACCACTGTTTTGTCTAGAAGTTTATTGTCCGTGTATCTTCAAAGTAAATAATGGTACTATTCAGTCGCTTAATAAAAGGTTTTGCTATCATCTCTTGGGTTAGCCTTTGCCGCTCAAACACACAGTACCAACTTGCTGCTCTATTAGGAGCCGGAGTGTTTACCCACCGTCAGTGTCTCCATAATAGCTTCTTTTTTTTTTCCCGGGACCTGAATGCAATCCATCCCGTGGCTGCCACCAGCGTGGCAGCGGCGTGCTCTGACACAGTCCTTTACAACAACCTTTCACTCCGCTCGCTGCTCCCTGCTTGGGTTCAAGCCGTGGTAATGGGACAAAATGTCTTTGCTCTGTAGCGGGAAAAGACACAGCGGTTCAATCTTGTCAACAAGTGACCTCTTTGGAGGATGTGGGTCGATTTGTCGGAGCAAAGCAAATAAAAAGATGTTCTCTCGTTTTTGACTCCAGTGTGTTTTGGGTTCCTATTTGTGCTGTGGTTTTTCACCCCATAACACAATGACGTCCCCTTGTATTGGTGCATATCAAATTCATAACAACAAAATTGAATCCGTCTTTTGTTTCCCTTTCGCCTCTAACCTTTTTTTTCTTTTTCTTTTTTGTCGTTGACTTTCCCGCCAGCAGAAAAGGCGGCAGCGGCGAACGAGGAGGAGGTGCAGAAGGCTGACGTCTCGTCGACAGGCCAGAGTGTGATTGACAAAGATGCCTTGGGACCAATGATGCTGGAGGTGGGTAATCTGGAGTATTCACACTGTCACATCGACAACCGACGCGATGCTCTCCTCTTTCAACCGAGCTCAACGCACAATGGACAGTTCTACCCGTAAAGAACAGCCCCAAATGAATCGTGTGTGTGTGTGCGTGTGCGTGCGTGGGGCGTAAATGCTGCCAGCATCTTGCATCTGCCCCTGGATCGGCTGTAAATCACCTGGCATAGCAATGGCCTCGTTGTCCCGCGGAGGGCCACTGAAGTGCTTATGTATAATGGGAGAGAAAGCAACAGCCTAGCGAATGAATCGGTTCATTGAGCCCCCTTCTCACTCGCCCCCCTCCCTTCCCCCCCCCCCCGCTCCCCCCCTCTCTCTTCACTTGGTCGGCCTCTAATTTCTCTCTCGCTCGCTCTACCGTCTTCTCTTTGCTCGCCTCTGGATCTGTCCTGTCATGGAATATTTATAGCTCTCCTGGTCCAGCGTCACTGAATCGACATACTAACTCGGGGGGCTAAATATAGCCGAGTGCAGCCCGCATGCTTTTCCCATCTGTCGGCGGCCCCCGAAACGCAGCAATCGGCCATTCACACCCACTCCGCTCTGGCCGCGGCCCCACGTCCGCCAAGCCCAGGCTCATTACGGGACGCTGCGAGGATATTTACTCTCGACGGGAAATGCACACGGAGGCGCGCGCAGCCGGCCCAATGACCCTTGTCTGTGAGTGCAGGAAAAGGGAGAAAGGCACGAGAAAAAGAAAAGGCGTTATCGTGCTCTCGTTTCAACCCTCTGGGAGCAAGTCGTGTTTCGTCACGTGACTGCTGTGGCATCTACTTTGCATTCCTGATGGACCGCCCCATATGGTCGCTGTCGTGTGGTGCACTAGGGCCGTATAATACCCATGATTCAGAAACACCAGTTCAAAGTAAGAAGCCCCCGTGTTGAAAATACTTACTAAAAGTGGCTAGTTCAACAAAAAGTAAATTCCAGATATTTGATTTAATATTTAGGTACTTGACAGTTTTAGATATATTCAGTGCAAAATACACATTTCTGTATATACTGAAAACAAATGCTACGCTCAACCGAGCTCCTTTTTAACGAGACAGTTGTGCTTTGTCATGAGGAAAATACAGCATGGTTAGCAGGGATTTATGTGAAGAGAGATCCTGTTTGCAGAGCATCGTATCATAAATAACAATAACATTTGGAGGAGAGGGGAGTAGACCCGACCCTATTCCCAACAGCACAACAACTTCCCATCCACTGTACATTGCAGTGGGCGGTTAGGCAGTGTAGCATCATATATCAGGAGCCCGCTAAGTATGGTGTCGCGTCCTGTATTTTTTTACTGGGTATTCATTTGTATCAGCTTTAGCACCCGCCATGTTAACCGGGGCAATATAAATGAAAGTATCGGCCAGCGGGATTATTAAAGAGAGCCAGTTGGCACCAGAGAGTGTTTGCTCCCCGCTTGTCCAGTACGTGCACTTTCTTCACACATGGGGGGGGGGGGGTCGACTTTGCCATGTTTCTTTTTGGAACCACTCTGCAGTGATGGATGAGATCTCCTGTATTTTCAGTGTTAATGCAGCCCGTGGAAACCTTATGTTCCAAAGCGATAGTGGCTGACATGGGATATATGACTGCACCCCGCTGGTGTGTTGCAGGTGTGTTACGCAGCGCCTATAGATGCACACGGGTATCCGTTTTAGTTTTAGGGCGACTGAATATACAACTGGCAATGTGCAATATATGAAAAAGTTTGGTGTCTTTTTGAAGTTGATGCTCTAAAAGAAAAACATACACATGTAAAGTAAAATGTGCGATGTGTAGGTAAAGAGGCGCAGTCATCTTAGTCCTCTTATCTCCCCACTCGATTTTACAGCTTTACAACTAACGAAATTCCCCTTTTTAAGGGTTCCGGGTTGATTTGATGGCCTAATTGACACCATCTTGTGGGTAATGGCCAACCTGGGGCTATATTCACTCAATTAAATGCTCCTCCTCCAACCTCTGCAGGCACATGCTTCTACCCTGCTTTCCATCAGACACACTGATGTTGAGCATCTGCTGCAGTGATTGATGTACCCGGCACACAGTGCACCAATTGGTTCCCTTTTTAAACACGGCGTAGGTGTGCTGCTTATTTACACAACTTGATAGGAATTATCAAAACAGTTCCTTGAAAGGTTTTCTTTCCATTTTTAGAACCGGTTTCTTTTGACCAGCCTCAGGTACACATACAATGGAAGCCCGCAGAACATATCTGCTTTCATATATGGAATGTGCAAATCCCTGGAAATCCTACGTAAACCCAAATTTAGCTCGTAGTGTTGGTGGTGAGGGTTCCAAACTAGAACAGTAAAGTTATCCCAACATACAAAGAGTGGAGAAACGCTTACGGTAGGATAACGCCTAAGAACCTGCTCAGTGCTACGCCAGCTAGCTATCAGCCAGTATTAGTGGGAAATAAAGGTTGTCAGACAGTTTTACTCTCCTAGTCTTGCTTTAACTTTGCTGTCAGAGATTTGATCCGCGCCAGTGCAGAAAATTCAATAAGCACACCTGCCCACTTTTGAACTTCTCCCCTTGCTTTTCTCTCCCCCTCTGTCTCCCCCCAGGCCCTGGACGGCTTCTTCTTCGTGGTGAACATGGAGGGCAACATCGTCTTTGTGTCTGAAAATGTGACCCAGTACCTGCGCTACAACCAGGAGGAGCTAATGAACACCAGTGTCTACAGCGTGCTGCACGTCGGGGATCACGCCGAGTTCATCAAGAACCTGCTGCCCAAATCCCTCGGTTAGCCGCCAGCATCCTCCCCCTGCCAGCCCTGGCTTTGCTTCCTGTCTCACCTCTGTTTTCACCTCGTCAGTTTGTGTCACCTGTGTTCCACATTTTTCTCTCTCTCTGTCTCGCTCTCTCTAAGATGCCATATGCCATCTATTTTGCATCACTCGCACCTGTGCTTACAGCCTGGCCTCATCTCTCCGCCTTCTAGCGTCGTCGCCTTTCTAAAAGTGTTTTACTGTTAAACTGCTGCAGAGAGAATAACGTGACTAATACAAAGTGTTACGTAAGCTTCGCACGCAGGGCCGACGCATGTCACCTATAGGTACTTCATTTTCTCTCTTGCTGATGCTCAGCCCAGACACTTGCTCCCGCTCCTCTTTCCCTGCCTCCCCCTTTTCAGCTAATTAACTTCTTTTTTTGGCTTCTCTCCCCTGTCAGCAGCATCCCCCCTTCCCATATCTCATCTCATGCCCTTCCAGCCCCTTTGCTTCACTTTGTGTGTTAGTCTCGCCCGCACTAAGTCCCCCAACCCCTCTTCCCTGTTTCGTAGCCTCTCTGAGAAGCATTGTCTTTACGCTAACATTGCTCATCTCATGAAAGCAGGCCATTTATTTCCGTGCACCTTTTTCTTCTCTCCTCCGGTTTCGGCCTGTTCTTTTCCCCGTCTCCTCTCTTTCGCTCTCTCTCCCTCCCTCCCTCTCTCCTTCTCTTTCTTCTTTCATGCCTACCTCCGATCCTTGCCCTTCATTTCCTCTGCCTAAGATGTATGTCAGTGCACCCCCCTGTCAGGAGCCCTCCCTAAGTCCCTTCTCCCTCTTCCCCTCCTGGTGCATGGGATTGAGGTCTGAGTGCCCAGCCATCTGGGTGGGAGAGCAGCACAGACCGGAATACCCTGGAAACGATCAGCGGGCCGTGTCCCAGATACTGGGAGATTATCAATGCACCGAATGAGATCACAAACCAGATGGAGTTTGCTTGAGTTAAATGAGTTGTGTGCCTGACCGCACACTTTGTCTTTCTTTTTTGTGTGTGTGTGTGTGTGTGTGTGTGTGTGTGTGTGTGTGTGTATGTGCATGCGTGCGTGCGCATCCGTCCATGTGAGTGTTTGAAAGGAAAAGAAAGATTGGCAATGTTGTTTTATAGAGGACATGCGAATGGAGGCCTGGCTGGGACGGGCGGCCGTGGATGGATGGCACGGTGCTCGGGGTTCCAACTGCTCATTACGACTGATCTCCACCCAGCATCTGCTCACTCTCTCGTGGTCTCTCTCCTTTCTGCACTTTTTTCCGTCCTCATTCTCTGCTCTGTTCTCATTAAGTGTCTCGCTTGCTTCCCAATTTTGTTGTTCAGTTTTGACTGCGGTTAAGAAAAAAAAAAAAAAAAGAACACCCAACAAGTACCATTTCCAGGGGGTTCGGCCAATTTATAAACCCCATCCCTTCTTGCTCCCCCGCAGTGAACGGCGTCCCGTGGTCCAGCGAGGGTCCGAGGAGGAACAGTCACACGTTCAACTGCCGGATGCTGGTCAACCCCCACGGCGACAACCAGGACGAGCTGCACGAGCCTCAGCAGCAGAAATATGAGACCATGCAGTGCTTCGCCGTTTCCGAGCCCAAGTCCATCAAGGAGGAGGGAGACGGTACGGAGCGAGAATGTGGCAGAATGTGTGGGAAACAAGAGTGGAGAGGGAGTTAAGGGGATCCCTCGACGCAAAATAGTGACCCCAAAAAAAACAATTTTGGACAAGCATGCTTTCATGATTTGTTGAAATGTGACGGGTGTAGGAAGCAGGAAGGCTGATTGGATAGAGTAATCAATATGAATCAAGTGCCCGCCATTCACGTGGTACTGAGGTCATATCGAATCCGCCAAAGTTTGTCTTAAAGCTGCATAAGCAAACGACAAAGGAGCAGTCCTGGTGCCACTCAACTTACACCCATGAAAAGTTAAGTGACGAGAGGGAGACGAGTAGCCGTCTGTCATTAAAGCCCATCTATAATTCATGCACATCCCTCTCGAACCCAGGGCAAGTGTCTCCAAAGGAGAGGGTGCAGCTTTTATTGCATCGGTAGTGGAGGCGGCCTTTTGATTAACCTTCACACAATTCGCGATGCAAAGTGTGATTCGGAGCGCGCCTGATGCCAGGAAGCTGCGTCTGCAGCGGCCGCCGTCCAGGACATCTGCTCGCCTTTCCTGGGAAACGTTGTCAGCTGGCTCGTTTTCATGTTCTCTAACCTTTTTAGAATTGGAACTTTCTGATCCATCCCAAGTCAATCTGTTACGCCCAAAATGTTCGGCGCCAAATGAAGCGTTGATGCGCAGATCTCTAAGAAACGAACAACCCTCCTTTTGCCCAGTGGCTTTCATGATCAACCGTAACTTCCCAACGCCGAGGGGAAAGTGCATGCGTGTGTGTAAGAGCAGCGAGGCAGGATCAGTAGTTGCAGGAATTTGCCCGGGGCCGTAGCCCGGAAGGAAGAAATGATGGAAGGAGGGAGGGAGGGAGGTAAAGAAAGAAAGAAAGGAAGGAAGAGAATTCAGAGCGATTCACAGATCCAAGAGCCCGACCACCCAAGAGGTTTGGTTTACAAGTCAAAATTAGGAATTTGTGTGTGTGTGTGTGTGTGTGTGTGTCTGTCTCTGCCCTGGCATGCATTTCTATGGCAGAAACATGCACAGGGATGGTGGTGAAGGGAGGGGGGGGGGTGTATTCCTGGAACAGGAAAGTTAGATGGCAGTTCTTTTTGGGGTCACCCCAGTCCTGGACGTGTGTGTGTTAGAGACAACTTCCATGATCGAGCATAGCATCTTTAATGTTGGTACAGGGGAGGTGTCATCAGTGTGGGATGCACCGTAGGTGAGACCAGAAGGAGACTCATGAAACCGCAGACGCGCACACACATCTTCAAAGGTCACACTTCATCATTTCCCTTGCCAGCGATAGCTGCTGCGCCTCATGAAAGGAGCAGAACCCTGATCCCCGTGCTCATTAATAACTGTATTAATTATGCTGCCTGGGAATAACATGCATTTAATTTTCTTTCCCTGTCTCTGTTTCCATCATTTACGCCCCCCCACTGTCCCCCTTCCTCCTCTTTACCATCCCCTCCTTCTCCACCCTGCCATCATTGTTCCATCCTCTATGTCATCTTTCCTCCACACATTCGCCCTAACTTTTTTCTTTCTTTTTTTTCCTCTCTCCCTCTTTCCCTCCTTGCAGACTTTCAGTCGTGCCTGATCTGCGTGGCTCGCAGGGTGCCGATGAAGGAGAGACCCATGCATCCCACACACGAGAGCTTCACCACGCGCCAAGACCTGCAAGGTGCTCCAGCCAGTCACAAACTACTAGGGCGGAGAACATGCACAGCAAACCCAACAGCTTTGTCACTAAAAGCTGATCAAAATGACAATATCAATTTGGTGGAGCACTTTTTTCCCCAAAGCTTTCCCTTACGTTCCAAAAAAAAAAAACGTACTTCGTGCCTCTACACATTCTCTGCCTCACCTCATCCCGTGTTAGTAGCTCATAAATTGCCTCACACTACACTTTTGGTTGTATCCTCATTATTATATCCAGGGTAAATGCCCTTAAGGAAAGCCTTTAGTCGAACAGGCTCGCCCCTCTGTCTGCGCTCTGGGAGGTAACGTACCTGTCTGAACACTAGTGAACAGACGCTAGTCTGTCTCGCCTGGACTTTGATGTGCTCGTAACATTTGTGTGTGTGTGGCATACACACACGCACATACTTCCTACATTATTTTGTCTTGAGTGAGGAATTACAGTAAGTTACTGTCGTAGGTCTGTGTCTGTTGGCCCGTTCGACGAGGACGCCCGATCCCGGATAAAAATGTTAATATATTATTAACTGATATTAAGTGTGGCTAATAAGACTCCTACTTGTTGTCACTAAATGACCAGAGTACAGTTCGTACAAATGCATGTTCAAATACAATCTAATCATTTTTTTAGCCGGGACTTTGTCTTCAGTTAATTTCAGTGCCTCACTAGCACAGACACGTTGCAATTAAATCCTTCGACCTTCCTCCCATCAATATCAAACCACAGAGCGATTGTGTGGCAAAGGGGCCAAGCGAGCATTAACATACATGTTTATGTTTGAGAGGGACTGAACCCCCCCCCTAACAGTGTGAGTGTATAAAAGTCCTTCTGTCCATGCCTGCCTCGGGCCTCTCCAATCCAGTGCCCTGTGTTTTAGGTAAGATAACGTCCCTGGATACCAGTCTGCTTCGGGCATCCATGAAGCCGGGCTGGGAGGATCTGGTGAGGCGCTGCATCCAGAGGTTCCACCTACAGAACGACGGGGAGATGTCTTTCGCCAAGAGACATCAGCAGGAAGGTAAGGACACTCGCCCTTCATTCCACACTGATGGATAACGTTCAATCTGTGTTTTATTATTCCGCCGTTCACAAGCGTACCTGCTCGCGTCTTCGTTTGAAGAAATGTTTCTCGCCTCTGATGTCATCGCATGTGTGTCCTCAGTGCTCCGCCACGGCCAGGCATTCAGCCCCATCTACCGGTTCTCCCTCTCGGACGGAACCATCGTGTCAGCCCACACCAAGAGCAAGCTTGTGCGCTCGCCCGCCACCAACGAACCCCAGCTCTACATGTCCCTGCACATTCTCCAGAGGCATGTCCATGTCGAGCTACCTGCGCCCCGCCTCCCTGTGTCGGACGTGCGGCTTGAAATTCGCTGCGTGTTTTAGCCTCTTGACGCCCTGCAGCGTGACCGGATGTCGTTGTGTATTCTGTGCGATGTGACCTCCAATGTGTATATTGGTGCTCAAAAGGGGGTGTGGGTCTTGGCTCATAGTGTCATAAATAGATATGGCTTGGCGGTGACTTCATTCTAATAGTCGTATGTAGATGGTTAGTGGTTCAAAATAATTACGTAAACAATTACAATAATTAGAATATTGAATTCACCACTAAGATAAACCATTTAATGTTTATCTTCATAAAATGTCTACAGAACATTCCTGGTATGAAAACTAATCTCATCTGTGTGTCTGTCTTAAACCTGTAGAGAGCAGATGGTCTGTGGAATGGGCCAGGACATGGGTCCCGGCAGTCAGGCCACAGGGATGGCCCCCAAACCGATGAATTCCTCCACTCCCTCCATGACTCCTCCGACCCCGGGCAGTTTGCCCGGTTCAGGGCCCCAGGGCCAAGACACTTCCATCAGTGGCAACAGCACGCCCTTTTCCCCTCAAGGCCCTGCTGGTCCCAGAGAACCGGCAGCCATGGGGGGTCATATGCAGGGCTACCGTTTTGGCTGTCCCCCACCGCACATCCACACCGGGGGCATGCAACCTCCACAGCAGGGCCCCAACTGGAGGATGAACAGCCCCTCTCGGGCGAGCCCCAGCCCGGCCGGTGGGCCGCATCCGCCCCAACAGAACTCCATGCTGTCTCCCAGGCACCGAGGCAGTCCAGGGGGAGCGGGCAGCCCTCGTGTGGCGGGAGGCCTGCACTCACCCTCCCCGGTGGGGATGTGCGGTGGAGGCGGCGGAGGTGCATGTGGTAGCGGCGCGGCTAGCACCCACGCTAACAGCTACACAAGCAGTTCTTTGTCAGCCCTGCAAGCCCTGAGTGAGTGTCACGGCGTGGGACACGGGCACGGGGCCCCTCACGCACACGCACTGGGGTCTCCTGACCGAAAGATTGGCTCCCCAGTCGGGGTCACGCAAGGTTCGGGGGTCAACCCTCATCTGATGTCAAAACTCGGAGGAGGTGGCGGTACCGGCGGCGTCACAGGAGACTCATTCAGACCCCACGCCGAGGTCGGTCCGGGCCAGACGGAGAGTAACCTAGCTGAGCCCAAGGAGGAGCGGGAAGGGCCCCCCGAGGGCCATGACTCTCACAGTCGTCTTCACGACAACAAGGGCCACACCAAGCTGCTGCAACTGCTCACCACTAAGCCGGAGCCTCTGGAGATGCCCCTGTCCCCCGGGGCTGGTGGTGAGGGCAAGGACCAGGCGGGGGCCGGGGTCCGGTGCGGGCTGGCCGGAGTAAACACTCACGCCACCTCCCTCAAGGACAAACACAAGATCCTCCACCAACTGCTCCAGAACAGTACGTCCCCAGTAGACCTGGCCAAACTCACTGCGGAGGCCACGGGTAAAGAGCTGGGCCAAGACCCGACCCAAGGCGCCGGGGGGGCGGCTTCCGGGGCCGAGCTTTCTCTCAAGCAGGAGCCCTTGAGCCCGAAAAAGAAGGACAACGCCCTGCTCCGCTACCTACTGGACAAGGACGACACTGGAGTGAAGGACAAGGTACCTAAGCTAGAGCCTGGGGAGGTGAAGGTTGAAGGGGGCAAACACCCTCTCGTCAAGACGGAGAAACAGGACACGGGATACGACCGGGCCGAACAGGTTAGGTCTTTTATTTTTCTACTAAAAGCTCCTCCATGTGTGTGTTTTTTTGAGAATTCGGCCTGTCCACCGCTTCTTTGAACGAAGAGCCTTAAGCCTGAAGGATCGTATCCTTTCTCTTCAGCCCACTGCGAGAACCAGACGTGTTTTACCCGGCACTGCTCCACTCGCCTCCCCCCTCTGTGCGAGCATCAATCTGGGTTAGGCAGCAGACGCCGATTCCTCCGCTCTCCCATACAGATTTTGCACAGTCTTGTCATGTGCGCGTAAGACGCCAGGCATGTTTTCCTTTTTATTCAAATACATAAACACATCTGGTCCCCTTTTCCTGCCGATGCGTTGGCAGCCGAAGTGCAGGAGGCTTTCCGCCAGCTTCAAACAACTGTGACATTTGGAGGGAGTCCCTGTGGTTCTCAAGCCATTTGATCCTGGTTGCGTTTGGCTGGAATCTGCAAGTTTGCGAGCTCGCGTTGGGCCTTCTGCTGAAAGAGGGACGAGGAGGAACGAGTAAAAAGGGCAAGGGGGGGGGGGTGGAGCAGGGCGAGTGTCGCTGGTGGAACTCAAAAGTTCTTTGTCGCAGAGGGCCTGAAGACTAACCCTTTCATAGAGGGTGTGTGTGCGCGTGTAAGAGAGAGAGTGACGTGCTATACTAACATAAGCTCAACACACAGGTCAAGCAATATGCAGCTCTGTCACACACACACCACATGAGTGCACGTGTTGCTGTCCCCATTTCTCTTGTTGCTTTCCGCCCCTTCGACCGGTCCATTGCCGAGGTTATATTCATAAAAGCTGTAGTACTTGTAGAAATGAAGTGTGTGTGTGTGTGTGTGTGTGTGTGTGTGTGTGTGTGTGTGTGTGTGTGTGTGTGTGTGTGTGTGTGTGTGTGTGTGTGTGTGTGTGTGTGTGTGTGTGTGTGTGTGTGTGTGCGCGTGTGTGTGTGTTGTTACCTCCGTGTGTGTGAGCGAACTTTTGCGTGTGAGAGAGCCCTAGAGTAAGGCGGGTGACTGCTATCCACAGAGTGTGCTCCCCCTCTCTGCCCCTCTATTGCAGGGGTGGGCAAGATGATTGAATGGTTGGCAAGAAACTTCACACATACACACACACACACACACACACACACACACACACACACACACACACACACACACACACACACACACACACACACACACACACACACACACACAGAGAGAGAGGTGTAGACACCCCCAGGAGAGCCTGGGCAGGCAGAGTGAAAATGATGAGCCATATGCTCCTGCATGTCCTCTCTGCTGCCATGGAGATAGAGGGGAGTGGTGTGTTTGTAGAGCGAGCGATGTGCCAATAGAAACAATGGAAGCAAATAGAAAATGAGGAAAATGGAGGTTTAATGCGTACGTCGGCATCCAGAGTCTCTATGTTGGAGAAGTGTCAGCTGTTAAAAACTCAAGTTGCGCTTTAAATTGGTTAATTTCTGCCTCGTGTTGACGGCGGCAATGAGACTCTTCACATGGAGATGGTTCCCTCCGTGGTTTCCGACTCAGAGCGAGAGCAGTTATTAAACATGAATCAAGCAGTGACTCCATTAGAGCGCGTGGTGGGGGGAGGGGGGCTTTCGGTGAACTGCTGCCCGGCCATGTGGGAAAGCTGACTGTACTAGTCAAAAAGTCCACCTATCCTTTTCTCTACTAACCTCACCCACTGCTGTCTTGCTGCCTCCTCCCTACGTTCTCCCTCCCTCCTCGTGATTGTTTGAGGGCTGAATTATTGATGGCTGGAGCAGAGCTAAATGAGAAATCAGAGCTGCGTAGTAGCGGCTCGGCTAATGACTAAAGAGCCGTGCCTACAGTTCCCTCTTAAACTGCACCGTCGTTATTATAATGCATATTTAGTGAGTAGGTTCCTTCTTCTCTTCATTGCCACTGAAAACAAATCAAGTTAATCAACCTAATATTGAGCGTTTCAGTCAGAATGTCAGATTTAGTTAGCAACAAGCTGCAGCTCCTCATTGACCCTGAATGTCAGTAAGCAGTTAAAAATAAATAGTCTAATCCTCAGTGTTTAATAGATCCTCCAGTAGTTTCCTCTACTGCCGTTCTTGTTATTCTATGAGATGATGCATTGTCAAACTGCATGCCGAACATCTCCACCGGCCCTGAGGCAAATGTTCTGTATCAGACATCACACGGGTCCTACAGTACAAGAAATGTCAAGAGTTTTCAGAAGTCTCCCCCGACCACAAGGGAGGATATCAATATTATCTTTCACCCGAAGAACAGGTGCTGCTATTACGAAGATAGCAGCACATTGTAGATGCATTTCTTTTATTACCAGTCCCACAATGACACCTCATTTCTTGCAACATAAGTTGATGCCGCACACACATAAATAGTTTGAAAATATGTGGTGCGATTCCTCTCGTTATGAATACCTGCAACAAATAAGGTACAAGTATTCTACTTAAAGACTGCTGTTGATGTTGCAGTAAAATGTTGCCGTCTCAGCTCTTTCACACCAGGAATAGATTTTGGCGAAGTAGTTTCCGTTGACAAAAGCCCTGCGTTATTCTGTAATAAAAGGACTTTTCCTTTCGCCTTCTGGTGGCAGTTCTGCTTTACCCACTCAGATGTGGCAGTTCCCTTTTCTTATGAAATTGCCAGGTCAGAGAAGCCAAAGCCCCCCCCCCCCTCCCCCCCTAAAGTAAAGTAAAGTAAAGTGGGGATCAGGAAGTTGTATTGTTTTTAACTGATGTGATTCTATTGTTTTGATTTTTAACCTGGAGAATTTAACTAAGAAAACACACATTCGGCAGAGCGTCTCGGCCAGTCTGATGTGACAAAGTCAGCCGATGCTGATCTGTACACACTGAGTGTATTTGAGTTTGTATCGAGCCTGCATGATATCCACCAGGCCTCGTTAAAGCAGGTGAAGTCTGCCTGTGGTCATTGTTAATAACCGTTAGAGACGAGCAAATAAAGCGCCGTGTTCGTTTCTCTCGCTCATATTTTCTAGCTTGTCTGTGATCTCTGAAGCGAAAAGGTTTAAAAAAAAAAAAAAAATGTTTTATGATGCACAAGATGCGCCCTCAGACCAACAGCCTCTTGAGTCCTACGAGTCCTACGGCCTGCACATTTAACCGAATATACTTAGCACAGCAGTCCGAGATGCAGAGAAGGACGCGATGCATCGGTAGAAGAGGGTAGCCGGGATCGACAGAAACGGGACCCACTAAGGGGAAAAAAGCAACTGGAGAAGATGAGAGAATAGAAAGTGGGAGGGGAGAGGATGGAAGAGGAGGAGTAAAAGAGCAAGCCGGGAGCGTACAGGAGCATTACATCATTCCTGACCTCATTAGGGCTTCTCTCTCTCTCTCTCTCTCCCACCCCCACCGCTGCCACACTCCTCTCTTTGGCTCTCCTACTCCTCACAATAAAGCACATGCAGTCTTAAGTCCTCGAGAGACATCCATTCCATTGGTCTCTGTAACCTCTGTTAGCATGTGCATGCCTCACGGATGCATGTCGCTGTCTAGAACGGTGAAGTGCAGCATTGACACAGCGGCTGCTTTTGCTGTTTTTTTTGTTTTTTTCCTGCCGTACAGTATGTCACCGATCGTGAGTCCAAGTGTGCCGCCCCCTCCTGGCCGCCCACAGCCACTGCGACTTATTTACCCAAAGTCCCTCAGGCCGCTCTCTAAAGAACCCATACGATCGCCTGCGTTGGTGTTTATGTTCCGTTGTGGCCGCCATCTACGTCCTCCCCTCTTTGTCCGCTTGGGGAAATCTATTTCAATGCAGTGATGTTAATCACTACGTTAATGTAGCCTTCCAACATTCCACTTATTGTGAAGTTTTTTTACATATTTTTTTTTTTTCTTGGGCTGCAGTTTGTTGAGGCGCTGGGTCTGCTGAGGTCTGCATTACCGAGGTGTTCCGGTTATTTTGTCCACTGCCAGTGGTGGTGAAACAGAAGAGCAGGAGACCGTGACCGAACCCTGCAGCTCGGCCCAGTGGACCAGCAGCAGATTTTTAAACAGTTGTGTGAAAATCTAAACAACAAAAAAAGCATGCTGAACTGTCCAAAGCCCAGCTGTGTAAAAATGCAACCATGTGCTGTGTTTTTACAGGTTCCATCCAGCTGTTTACAGTAGAAGGAGAAGAGGGGTCGGGGGGGATTAGATAGTAGTCTAAGCTCTTTGGCACCAACCAAACTCTTGCCGCCTCTCGCGGCTCTGCCTTGTTGCTCCGTAGAAAGCCACTCCAGTGGCCTCCTGTCCCCGTGGTTCACACTCCGTACGCAGCAGAATAATGCTCCATTCGTACTTATGCGCTTAGAGAAGGAGGGAGGGAGCGACGCAGTTGTGTGTCTTATCAAGGGCAGCAGCCGCTGAGCGAGGAGCAGTTTGTGTCCTCTAAGATGAGGAAAAACGAATTGTGGCCTAGATTTGACGGAAAGTGGTCCATTTCGCCCCGGGGTCACTGCGCCATTATAAACAAGGCCAAGTCCGCTGTTCCCCTCTCAAAGAGAGAGACTCCTTGTGCAGACAGAGACTTTTCGCTTGACCGCTTATTATTTAATGTGGTTTTAAACCCTTTTCTTTCCCCTGCGTGTCCTCTCCAGTCGTCGGAGCTGGACGACATCCTGAACGATCTGCAGAATGCTCAGCCGCAGCTCTTCTGTGAGCCGCGGCCCGTTTCGTTGCCCAGTCCCATGGACAAGCAGAACATCATCAACGACATCCTGCAGATGTCCGAGACCAATCCTGCCATGGTGGCGCAGCAGCAGCACAGGGGCATCGGGACTGGCATGGGCCCAACGAGTGAGTCACTCTCCATCACTCACACACACACACACACACTTCAAACTGTTCAGGGAAATACTCCCATCATGACATTCGAAATGCGTAGCTGTGGAAACTGTTTATTACTATGTTATCATTGACTCCTCCCTTCCTGCCTTGCAGACTTTGCGGGGGTCCGACCGGGCCAGCCGGGCAGAGGTCTGCCAGTGAGGAGCGTGTCCCTGGACATGAACGTGTCCCCCCAGCCGCCCTCATTACAGTACCCCATCAGGGCCACGAGCCCATACACTCTCATGCAGCAGCAACAGCAGCACGGCATGGTGGGAGGTCACGGCATGATGGCTCACCAGGCCGGTATGGTCGGCGCAGGTGGGTGTGACTGTTGTGCTTGTGTTTCGTTGGGCGGGGTGAGGGAGTCCACATAGAGCGCCTTGATGAGCCTTTGAGCTCCGTTGTGTCAAGATCAAATTAAGTGGCTCATGTCATTTTTCTTCGGCACTGTCTTAAGGTACAGGGAAACCGTTTAATGATATACTTGTTTGTCTACGCCGCCGCAGTTTTCTGGGGGAAAGTCCTTTTCTCACCCTCTGCGTCGCTCTCTGCTCGTCACCTGTCACATCATGGCACAGTGACTCACTTCCTGTGACAGGAAATATGTATTCACCCACACCGGCGGAGTTTCTGTCACTCATCAGCGGCCCTCTAACAGCCCCCGGTGGATGTCTTTTCATCTCCTGTTACACCGGCGCATCATGGGGACGTCCAGCGTGTCCTGAGGCCTTTTCTCGCCGTTTCTGGTTTTCATTTTGCCGTTTGCTCCTCTAGGAATGATTGCTCAGGGAGGTCCACGGCCGGGGATGCAGCAGCAGCAGCAGCAGCAGCAGCAGGAGGGCTGGGTGGGTTCGGCATCTGCGCCTCCTCTGGCACCGTCCGGCCCCGGACAGCAAGGTCCCATGCAAGGCAGGATTGGGCCCAACGGGGCTCCCATGAGGCCCAACGGCCAGCTGGGGCCCCGGCCGATGCTGCAGTCCTCCATGATGGCCGGAGGTGAGAGCCCAGTGTGCCCTGAAAACGTTGCACAAGTTTTTAAAAGCGGGAACGAGAAGTACGAAAGCGTCGACATCAAAGCCCCATTTCTTTATCCAGCCACTCATTTTATCGCATTGCTGTTGATTGTTAAAGGTTGCCCCCCAGTGGCTGACCAAAGTGCGGCACTCAACAAAGACCTTAATGTCTAACCAGACTGTGCCGGTTGCTCATCCGGGTTGCCAGATGTTCTCCTCGTGACAACCAAAGTTGCAATATTGCCTCCCTACTATCCCGCCTTCATCTCTTTATTCCTCCTATTCAGCCCAACCTGATATGGACATCAGTATGGTCAGCCACCATTTCACCCAGCAACAGGCTCCACCCAACCAGACGGCGCCCTGGCCAGACAGCATGATGCCCATCGACCAGACGGCTTTCGTGAACCAGACCAGGTGAGAAACTTGCTGGCCTTCCCCGGGAGAAGCCTTTTTCTCGTGTTTTCTTTGGCTCGTCACCGATGAGCTGTACTTGAGCACCAGCACCCGTCTCCTCTCTGCTCAGGCCGGTGCACCCGGCGCAGCAGGACGAGTTGCTGTGCAGCACGGGCCACGGCTCTGGGGACGGCGGCGCCGTGGACGAGGGGGCCCTGCTGTCCCAGCTGTACACCGCACTGAAGGATTTTGACGGCCTGGAGGAGATTGATCGTGCCCTGGGGATTCCTGGTCTGGTTGAACAGGTGAGATCACATTCATTCATTTTTTGAAAATTTGTTTTTGGTGACTTATGTTTTCGCTCTGCATTTTTTCCACTGATTTTGGTTCCTGCCTTGTTTACAGAATCAATCAATGGAGCCGGACCAGTTCCCTCAGGACCCCTCCATGATAATAGACCAAAAGCCCCCCATGTACACCCAGCAATTTGTCGCCCCCCCCTCCCACATGGCCCAGAGGGGCTACCCCGGTGCCCCCATGCAAGAGCCGGGCTTCCACCCCATGTCTGGCCAGATGGGCCCGCGGCCGGGTTACCCCATGATGAGGATGCAGGCCCGGCCCGGTCTCCGGCCCTCTGGGGTCGTCCCCAACCAGCCCAACGCACTACGACTGCAGCTCCAGCACCGCCTACAGTCCCAGCAGGTACACGCGCTTCCCACGAAGGTTCCCTTGTGATTTCTTCTCTTTTTCCTTTCAGTTTTACCCGTTTGGTCAGTCGCTGTTTGACTGAGCTCGTGCGAGTTGTGAAACTATCCTTGAGGTTGACATTTTGGCAGCTCTTCTGTACACACAAAGAACATTTAGGTATATTTAGTCGTCCCAGCCGTTTAGTTGTGTTTTGTGCTTTTTTTGTTTGTATTCTTTACCCATTTACTAGCGGGAGGTGAGAAGTACGTATATACACACAAATGAAGTGTTTTAAAGATGTTTCAACCCGCCGGCGTGTGTCTGAACCTCTTCTTCCTTCTCCTGCCCCGCCAGAACCGTCAGCCAATGATGAGTCAGATGAGTGGTGTGTCAAATGTGAACCTACCTCTTAGAGCCAGCGCTCCAAACCAGGTGAGTCTGCACTGATGCTGTTATGACTGTAGTGGCTGTTGTAGTAGTAGTTTGTTGACCGCTTAAAGTAAATGCTTTCATTTCAGAAGTCGACTCATTTAATGTACATCTGTGACAATCTCTATTATAACACATTATTCTCCTCCTCCTCCTCCTCCAGGGGACCATCAATGCCCAGATGTTGGCGCAGCGTCAGCGGGAGCTGCTGAGTAATCACCTGAGGCAGAGGCAGCAGCAGCAGCAGGTCCAACAGCAGAGGAGCATGGCCATGAGGGCGCAGGGTCTCAGCCTGCCTCCCAACATGGCCGCTGGAGGCATGAGTAACCCCCGGATCCCCCAGGCCAACCCTCAGCAGTTCCCCTACCCGCCCAGCTACGGTACCAGTACAGGCCTGGCCTCGCCACCTCCCCCTACCAGCCCCTTCTCCTCCCCTCTCTCCCCCAGCCTGCCCTCTCTCCCCCCGAACCCTCAGCTCCACATGCATGGCATCTCCTCCTCCACCTCCTCCTCCTCACAGATGATGATGGGAAACGCAAGCATGATGGGCGGACAGTACGGGGCCGTACTCAGCCCCCAAATGCAGCACAGTGCCTTTCAGTTTCCCAACTCAGGTACTGCCCCCCCCCCCCCCCCTCCCCGTCCCCCGTCCCTCTCCCACCACCTTACAACCCCCCTCCTCTCTCAGCCATCCATACACACGTCACCCTACAACCTCTGTTTGTCATTGTGTCAGCGCGTTGATGCGTCCAACTGCAGTCGCCTGATTTGAAATATTATGCGTCAATCAGCTGCCGACCATTGATCCGAGTCGTACGGCATTCTTACTCCCCTGTTAATTGTTATTACACAGGGTTTAGCTATCGACGTGTGTCTTTGTGTACTCAAGGTTCTTTGCCCTGTCCAAAATGGTGTCCTCGCTGTACACTCTTTCTCCACCAGAGGGCGACAAGAGCGCAATAATCAATCAAAGTTGAGCAGGGGACACCCGGAGAAACCGGACTCCTTCAGAGTGAGCTGGCAGAGACACGATCAAGGCTGCACCTTGTCAGTTTGACAGTGTGGCGAGTTATCCAGACATAGATCAACAATCTATGCTAATTACAGTATGATAATATTAATTTGTATGATGACGTATTCAATGGCGCCTCAATCAGATTCTGGCACTTCAGGTTCGTACAGTAACGCAACTTCTGCCAGACATTACTTCTCCCTCCCCCATTTCTCCCAATCCGTCTCCTTATTCCCTTTCCTCCTAGTTCCTTGCCTTATTAACTGTTTAACGTGCATGTCGGTGATATTCGCTGCCTGTCATTAATCGTGAATGCAGACTGGAATTGACCCCCTCGGTTGCCGATGGCGTGATTGTGCAAACGTTCGCTCTGGTTGTTCCTTACTCTTACTTGCTTTTCACTCGAGTCTGCGCAGGTGCATTGATGTCGACCTATCTTGATGTGTCCCCCACAGGTATGAGCCAACAGGCGGACGGAGGCTTCGGGGGTCCGGGCACACCACAGAGCCCCCTGCTTTCTCCCCGCATGGCCCACGCGCAGTCCCCCATGATGCAGCAGAGCCAAGGAAACGCTGCTTTCCAGGGCTCCTCCGACATGAACGGTTGGCCACAAGGCAACATAGGAGGCAACAGGTAAAGAAATCTGTGGAGATTCCTCCTGCATGAACCTGTAGTGTGTGATTAGACTGTTCCAAAAGCCAAGATGTGTCTTTAAATCCATTTGGAAATTAGCAAAAAAAACAGCCCTAAAAAGTTCCCTAAAAATAATCATCTCCTTTTTTACAGTATCACAATCAATGTGTGCCAGTTTTTGTCTGTTAATGAGCTTCTCTGATATTATAATATAAAGAAAATACGAGGCTCACACCGTGCCAACCACATGTTCACAACAATGTATTTCAGTTGTCTCATGAATTGATTACATGCTTCTCAGAAACTCTGAATGTTGAGCTTTATCCCCCCCCCCCCCCCTTCACCCCCCAGCATGTTCCCACAGCAGCAGGCGTCGCAGCAGTTCCCCCAGCAGAGCAACAGCAACATGTACAACGGGAACGCCATGAACCTCAACAACGTCAACATGGCCGCCAGCAGCATGGGCCAGATGGCCGGACAGATGAGTGTCACGTCCATGGCCTCGGGGCCCTCGCCCAGCCTGCCCTCCATGGGGCCGGAACAGGTAAACACCGGGCCGACATCATCCCCGCGCTCTCCCAACCAAGAGGAGCAAATGTTCTCGTAGCGAGGCCTGCCCAAATGATGGAGCTTCGGAGGAACCCCGTAATGTCTCCACCATTAGGAATACAACGAGACTTGTAGCGTATAAACCTCGAGAGGTCAACTAGAAAGGGCCCCTTTTAAAGTTTTACGCAGTGATCGGGGGACCAAGAAAAACTAAAAGGTTTTGCCTTTGTCTCCCTGCTCCCAGTTTCCTATGAACGTGTTTGTCTCGTCGTAAAGTGTTTGGGTACACTTATTGAACAGGCGCGCTAATGAATTATTTACTCTGCAGTTTACGTAACTCCTCTAGGTGGTGTTCTGATACTTCACTCCAACTTAGAGGACAGTGATGTAATTAGCAGCGGGCACTTTAGAGCCAGACCATTTAGGCGGTATAGACTATAAAGAATATAGAGTTACCGTATGACGCTCCGCGTGGAAAACACAGATCCGTCAAACAGACACGCAAACACGGGTGGACTCTGCCTTTTTGAAACGCAACTCAGTCACTTAATCACTTAAACTTTAAAGTACAGTTGGTTGGACTTTGTCAGGCGAGTGTTTAATGTCCACCAAGTTAATCCTTCTCCCTTTTGTCTCCCTGGTATTGTTTTGTATGTGAAAAGCACTGTTGTTGTCCATGATGCTTTTAAGCCCAATAAAGGGCCATGAATATTTAACCAAGGTGCTGCTGTTTGATTGTCTGCACTTCAGACCATTGCAGCACACCAGTATATCTGTCACTTGATTTATCCTCCTTCCTGGATTATAGAAATATATTGGCACTTAGATTATTTCAATTATTTACCGTTCGGCCATTAGTGCGGCCTTTTGTGATTTACTAACTTGTTTTGAGGCTTGATGGGGTGTTCCAAGAAGGATTTCTATTTGTTTACAGTCTCTTTCTCACATGTGGCTGATTTACTCCCGACAAGTTCAAGCCCCGCGAGTCTTGTGTCTTTGTTCGAGTTGTGTATCCATCAGAGGCTTTCCAGGCCTGTGATCTCACACGTGTATTCTCTCTGCAGAAATACTGTTGACCCCCGTGGAGTCCTGAACCTCACTGAACAGCTGGAGCAAGGAGTGCGTTGGCCCTTTAAGAGAAATTGTACAAACATGTAACCCCGCCTCCGCCCCCCCTTGAAACTAACCAGCCAGGCGGTTCCACCCGAACCTCGTCGCCCCGCGTTTTGCCGTCTGTCCCGGAAGGAGGCCACACGCCCCCCCCCCCCACGCCTCATTCTTCCCCCCAACCCCGAACAGAAAAAGGGAAGATCTGGGGTAAGGCTGCTGGGGCCTGGTCCTCCTGGCCCAGGGGGGGGCCTTTGTGATGAGCCAGTCTGTCTGCCTGTCCAGCTGCATTCACCGTCGTGTGACTTACTGTAGGCCTCCCGCTGGGGGACACCAACCTAGATGGGGGGGGGCAGCAATGGGTGGGATCCCTTGTTCTGATGAATGTATTCCTCTCAGTGGACAGCGGCCATTTACAATCTCATCTCAAAAAATGACGTTGATGACTGATTCTTTCGTGTCCTTTCTTTCTCACACATTTGTGACATTTCCACCTGGTTCCGAAGTGGCAGCAAAGACTCCAAAGTTATGTTCAAATTCATGCACGGAGCTCAAAAACTTGCCGGTTTTGCCTTTTTGCTGTTTATTTTATCATTATTTTAGTTTTTGTTGGGGTTTTTTTCTTATTGTTGTGAGAATTAAGATGTAGAATGAAGAAATGGTTGAAAAAGAAGAAAAAAAGATCTTAAACACTGCAGAAGAATGGTTTGAGTGGAATGATGATTTGTATGATTAGACTAATTTAGTCAAGAGGTTTATATAGTGTATTAAATTAAGTTTTATTTTTCTGTATAGATTCATTTTAATTATTATAGATGATTGTTTATCTTAGTAGCAACAAGAAAAAAGATTTCTAAAAGTGCGAAAGAGGCACTTTTTTATAATTTTAACAGTAATGGTTGTATTCTTTCTGAGAAGATTCTTCTATGGACACGAATAATGGATTATACTTTTGGTCCTTTTTAGTTTCAGAACAAGATCTCAAAATGATATGTGGTTTAAAAATGAATTTCAGAGATTGTACATACCAATAAGTAACACATTGTCTTTCCTATTTATTTTATTCCTTCGGGTTCGGTTCCCCCGTCTGGTCACAACTGCCTCTCGAAGCAGAGAAGTGGAGCAGGAGCCTTTACAAACTAATGTTCTGGTACGATGCAGACAGGTGAGGGGGGGTGGGGGCTGTGGGTGGTTGTAAGGGGGGGTGGGGTGCTGTGTGTGTATACAGTGTACAGATTATCGCTTGCTTCTCTGCCTTTAGCATAGGACACCACAAAAAAAAGACAAAAAACACAGAAGTTCAACACAGCCATACAACAACTATAAAAAAAATAAAAATAACAAGTGTGCTTTCTATGTCGTCTGGAGTGAAAAATGCTTCATACAAGCTGCTAGGTGCAAACTGTTCTGGTGTGATGTAAACAAGCAATAACAATTACTTGAGAATCTTGTTTGTTTGTTTTTTCTGTCTTTTTTTGTAATTTTTGTACAGTTTCCTGAATAAAAAGGACACTTTTTTTTTTTTTTTTTTTTTTTTTGTTCCAAGTTTGGATGCAGTATTAAACAGTTTTTTTTTTATTGCAGTTTGTACCAAGAAAGTCCACATCCACACGCAGCGTTCCTAATAGATTATGCAGCATGGGCTGAGGCCTGCAGAGGGAGGTCGTTTTGTGGTTCCCCTCGTTGACCCTCTCTGCCTCCAGCCGCTCCTCTATCGCAGAGGTCAGAGTTGAGGCCGCTCAGTTATGAGACCTGCTCTGACGGACATTTAGCCATATTTAATGACCTCAGGCACTTGGTTCCACTATAAAGTGTTCAGCGATGACTCGCTGCGCTTGTGCCCCTGTTAGGGGGGAGTTATCGGTTTGACCGTCACAAGATTTAAAGAAAGTCATCTTCTCTAACCTCAAAAGTACATTTTCCTCAACAACAAAAAATGTTTTTTATAACTATTTTAACCCAGGACAAACTTGGAGCAAGCCAAATATTTCTCACCTTTTCAATTGGATTTCAGAATTCTACCAGCTCTTATCTTCACGGGGGCGACGACCTGTTGGTCCCCGTGCGCCTCACAGCCCACTCGAAACATAAATAAATTTACGATGATGTCACTTAACGGGGTGCCGATGTAGAAACGGGAAGGGAGTCATTGTGAATGTATCGCCGTGGAAGTTCTGAGGATGTGACTGCTGGTGTTCCAGACGTACCCTGCTTGTCTCAGCGTTTAGGTGAAGGACATTGTCCCACAGGCGCCCCACTGCATTAATATTGCGGTTGTCATCACTGCAGATGTCCCTGCAGTTGTCCTGGTTTGGGCCCAAAGGAGATCTTTGGTCTTTTCTTTTGTTGATAAATGCTGTTTTGATTGTATCATTCAGTTGTGCAGAACAAGCCTTTTTGAGCCATCTTAAAGAATGATTCACAGCCCTCTGCAAATTTCCAAAGATTGTCAAGATTTTGAAAAGATTTAAAGCCATGTGGTAGCAATGCATTTTTTAGCATTTATAATGAGGACAGGAGCAAATCCATGAATTTGCCCACTACAAATATCCAGGCTTTTGACCCACTAAACAAAAACTATTTTTTTTTTCCTCTTAACTTTAAACGCCCTTTTGTATTGTCTGCCAATTTCTTAGAGCTAAGATGCAACCTTGAAATGCTAAAAACCCTATAGCATAATGCCTTAGATTTTGTCTGTTCTCGTTCTTGTACATTACACCGCTGTCTGTATAAATTTGTATAATGACTTGTGTACAATATTGAATGAGTGCATCATCTCTCAACGCTTGGCAGTTTGCTGGAGACTCGGTCCCAGTTGAACTGTCCGTCGCCATTGCTCTCTGTTCTGTGTTGGGTTGAAGACTCTGTTATTTAACCCCCCCCCCCACTGTTTGTATGGAAGGAATGATGCACAGGGATGTTGAAGCAATATGTAATATACTAAATGGACTTTCTGAGGAAAGCTTACTGTTGTTTTCCCCTGCTCAGATATTTTTTTCTGCATTTTTCACAAGAATCTCACTGTATACCTGCATTCACCTTTGAACCCCTCGTGTGTGTGTGTGTGTGTGTGTGTGTGTGTGTGTGTGAGCGTTTTATGCAAAATTAGATATACAAGAGAAGTTAAAACCACAGTTATGCAAGTTGTGAACTAATATGGCTTCGCTGATGCTATTTGCCTTGTAAATAAAGAATTCTGTTATTGCAGTATTTAATTGAGTGTCTTATTTCATGTGATTAAAAGTTACAAAAAATGGTCGAAGGCCTCCATGTATTGTATTTTCCAAAATCAAGACTGCCAAGTGTTTTGTGACTAAAATGCAAGATTAAGAAATACAATTAAACAATTGTATAATATTTGTTTCATGCGTTTTGTTTTGGATTAATGCTGACACAGATTTTAGTTGGTGATTTAAACAAATATTTTTAATTCTTAGCGACAAGCATGTGGTACACCAGCATCTTAGTCCGACACATAAAGTCCCAATGATCCTCTATGCAGGAAAATAAAATGCTAATGATCACGTGGTCCGTATTACGCGTGATTAACGCCAGAGATCCCACGTACTTTTACTCGTTTGGTTGATGACGTTTCGAGCCGCAAGAGATAAACGAGTATTCTTTTATCTTCCTAATTCACCACATCCAAGGCATAACAACACATATCTCGACTCCACATGGGGCCCCTCAGATAGTCGTATCGCGTGTGTGTGTTTGGGGGGGGGGCGGTGATTTTATGGAAATGTTTGGGAACACCTCTCTCAATCGGCCCTCATTGTGCCAGAGAAAGCCGACCGGTGCGCCGAAGTGGACGCGGTGGGTTGTCCCTGAGAAGATGTACCCCCACGGGACATTGAGATGCATGAGCTTCAGCTGACTCTCTGGCCAATAGGAACAAGGTCCTGGGAAGGACATGAGTGTGGACAGTGGTGAGGTGCCCTCAGATGACCACCGTGTGCACACTGAAAGGCTCCTGCGGCACAGCAGTGCGTAATGCTGAAGCTTAGAGTTGATGCACACATCATGCTGGATATGACAAAGGCTGCATCTAGACCTCTGATTTATTAAACAAGGTAAGTTTATTTCCTTTCCCTTTTTTTCAATGCTGCATCTTTATATAAGACACGACGGTGTGTGGCGCTCGATGATATTATGTTCGATATTCTTCAAAGCACACTATACAAGAAATTGTGTTTTCGTTCGATTCACGTCAGTCAGTAACTCCTTTTATTTATTTGTTTTTATTTATTGATCACAACAATTTCCTTTAACACGTGCTATTGCCCTTCTGATATCTTTCCCCCCTCGCATTGACGGTAATAGGCTCTATAAAACGCTTCATTAATGTTGACCTCTGCTCCGGATGGCTGTTGTTTAATGAGTGTCATGACCCTGATTTGTCTCTCTATTTACTGGCTGATTGGTAAACGGTTCCTAAAAAAAACACCTTATTTAAGCCGGTCGTTTAACGCCGCTGATGAACATCTGGCGCGCGTCTCCGGTGGCGCGTGTCCTCTCAGCTGGAAATATTGCAAAATCGGCTGTCCAATTTCACCGTGGTCTGCTTTTACTTCTTGTTCGATGGATCTGTTCAAAATGTTCTGCATGTCTGCAGTTCTCACTATTTCTTTGTGTGGTTTTCATTTGAAAACTCGTGCGCTATTGAAGTTAGCTTCAATCAATATTTAAGTAGTTCTAGTATTTCTTTGACTAAATTAGAGCTTTACTCGAATTAGAAGGAAAACAAAGTAAAAAATCAATTCAGGTGGTCAATTTCTCTTAACGTCATGTGTCCAGTTTTAGATTTCTTTTTATTGTTGTTGTTGTATTAAACTTTTATAACTCACCCTCACTTCCTCTACCACCCTCTTCGTCTTCCTCTCTCCCCCACCGAAGGACGCGCATCTCCGTTCGATCCCCCCCCCCCCCCCCCCCCCCCGCTCCTGGTTTACGACTGTCATGTCGAGGTCCCTTGTCCAGCATTCCCAGTAGTGCTGAAGGGACAGAAAGCTGCGTCCAAGTCGGCATGCTGAAATTCAGGCATACTAACGGAGCTCCTGCTTCTCGAGGCCCCCACCACTCCGACGCTGACCTCGACAACATCTAGCACATGGACTTCCTTCACGCAGACACACAGCCTCCTCCCATCCCAACAAGTCCCCTCGGTCGTCTGTGTCTCGGACACGCACGGCGGCGGCCCTCCGTTTCACCGCCAGCAACGTCTCCACGCGTCGGTGCTGCACGAACACGTGTTGCGCGTGCCCGGCGCGCCCTACCTGAGCCAGATGTTGCCCGGGCACCCGCCGTACTCGCAGAAACCGGAGGAGCTGGCCGCCGTGGTGACCGAGCACGCCGCCGGCCCGCTGTCTTCGGACTTCGGCAGCCCGTCCAGCGGGAGGTCGTCCTGCGCCGCTTCTTCTTCTTCTTCTTCTTCTTCTTCCTCGCCGCCCAAGGAGAGTTCGTCTCGCCTCCGGTCGCCGGATAAACCGCGCGCGTCTTTTCATTTCAGCGAGGAGGACTTGTTCACGGTGCTCTACGGTTACTCCGGCGGCCCGGAGCGCAGCGGGGGTCACGCCTTGTCGGGACTGGCCCTGCCCGAAAAGTCAGGTGAGACACACTCAACCTATGTGTGTTTGGCGTGAGACCACGAGACGGACATCATGATGAACACCGGTCTGCTGACATTAAGGCCTCATCAAATAATAATAATCCCTTTGTCATCGAGTTCTCTTATCTCCTTCACATATTAATGAAATCTTTGTTTTCCTCGTTCAGCTTCCGACTCTCACATTCTCCCGCCGGACAGAGAAACACTTGAACTTCCAGACGGTGAGAAACTGTCATGGATCCACTTTAATTCGCTGCATCCGAACCACCGGGGGTGGGATTATTGCGGCTGAGATTTAACCCCTCTGGTTGTTGTTGTTGTGTTGTTTGTTTCTGGACACCGTTGCAGGATTAACCGTGGTCCAGGCATCGTGGGGAAACGTGTCACACTGTGGAGTTTTCACGGACAAAAGCTGCATCCCTCAAGGGACGCGCTTCGGTCCCTTCCGAGGGAAACTGGTGAATACCAGTGAGATAAAAACATACGACGACAACACCCTCATGTGGGAGGTAAAACGTCACAAATGTATTCCCGAAGTCCTGTTCCGGGCCGAGCAGTCTGGTCTAATCACGAAATGATTTTTAATCCTATCTAACGCAAAACACACCTTTTCTCCCCCCGCCAGGTGTTCGAAAACGGCCGGTTGAGTCACTTCGTTGACGGCCGGGGAGCCTCGGGGAACTGGATGTCCTCAGTGAAGTGCGCCCGGTTCCCGGAGGAGCAGAACCTGATTGCCGTGCAGATCCAAAATCAGATCTTCTACGAGGCCTGCAAAGAGATCCGACCGGGCCAGGAGCTGCTGGTGTGGTACGGAGACTGCTACATGCAGTTCCTCGGCATCCCCCTCACGCTGAAAGACCCCAGGGAGGGAAACGGCGCGCCCCCCCCCTCCGAGGGTCAGCATCCTCACCTTCACCGCTTTTTTTTCTAGTGCACTTTTCTAGTTGTATCACCGAACCGAACCTGTAGTTTGTTGCAACCCCCCCCCCCCTCTACAGATACCGGCGATGGTTTCAAGTGTGACAGGTGCGGCAAAGTGTTTGCGTACAAGTACTACCGAGACAAGCACCTGAAGTACACGCGCTGCGTGGACCAGGGCGACAGGAAGTTCCCCTGTCACCTCTGCACCAGATCTTTCGAGAAGAGGGACAGATTAAGGATCCACATCTTGCACGTCCACGAAAAGCACAGGCCTCACAAGGTACTAAGACGGTGCGCGTGTGTGTATCTGCTCCATGGTGCTGAAAGAACAGCTCCCCTTCAGCGTCGCCTACGAATACAAATATTTATATATACATGTATTTATGTAATAATATGTTTCTTCTTGAGCTTAATTTATACTCCAAATAGAAAGACGTGACGAATAACTTGTAACTTTGTGTGTGTGTGTGTGTGTGTGTGTGTGTGTGTGTGTGTGTGTGTGTGTGTGTGTGTGTGTGTGTGTGTGTGTCCGGCCCGCAGTGCTCAGTGTGCGCAAAGAGTTTCTCGCAGTCCTCCAGCCTCAACAAACACATGCGCGTGCACTCCGGAGAACGGCCTTACAAGTGCGTTTACTGCAACAAGGTAAGAGGCCGGTTTACTTTTTCATTTCCTATTATTTGGGCCACAATTATCAGATCTGTGTTGCCATGTTCATGCTGTACCGTGACATTTTGAAGGAAAACCATCACATGGTATCATTTTGACACGTTATTAAAAACACCCCTCGTTATCCACGGAGACACTCACGTGCTAATTACCGCCAGATGTACACGCGCTCTTTTGTCCGGATTAGACTTTTCATTTACGGCCCCTCTCGATATCCCGCCCCCTTTTTGTGCACCCCGAGAAGGTTTTTGTTTAACCTAAATTCCCCTATTTCTCCTTACGTGGACCATGCAAGCAGCATGCCGCGACAATAGAGGGTTAGAAGTATTTTAAAATAAAATTCGTTGTAGATGAAAATAATCCGTGTTTTTGTTTTTCGACAATGATCGAATCGAATCGAATTGAAAATAGAAACGCAGTTGCTTGTTACTGTGGATAAAACACCAGAGCCATTTGAATTCGGCTTCCCTCTCGTCCAGGCCTTCACTGCTTCCAGCATTCTGCGCACTCACATCCGCCAGCACTCCGGAGAGCGGCCCTTCAAGTGCAAGCACTGCGGGAAGGCCTTCGCTTCGCACGCCGCCCACGACAGCCACGTCAGGCGGACCCACGCCAAGGAAAAGCCCCACGCCTGCGACCTGTGCGGAGCTTCTTTCCAAGACGAACAGGAATTCAGATATCACATGAAAAGTCATACAAGTAAGGTTTCAAATTGTTTTGTTTTAATATAGCAGCAAACATGTGAACGCTTTGATCATTTATTATCTAGATTTAATTCAATGTTTGTTGTTTGATGGGATTTAAATTAAACAAATGCATATTAGGAGTTTTCGTCAGCTATATTACATGTATATATTTCTCTTCGTTTTCTAGTACAGATGAATACATATCACGCTGAAAAGCAATTCTTTTAAATTGCATCCTCCTTGAAACATTATTTACTTTTTTTTATTTTGCACACTCTGCAGACAGTCACATCGTGGACAGCACAATTGTTCCTCCTTCTCCAGGAGGTGGATTACAGAAGGGCTCCGTGTATCCGGCGAAGGACAATCCCAAAATACAGAAGAGCTCCGGACAAAACTTTCCTTACGCGGGGACAACAGTTTTAAATCCAGAATATCGGCCCTGGAACTGAGACTGTGAATCCTGATCAAGAAAAACCCAAAACTAAATGTGTGTAATATTTGAGAGGTTGGGTCTCTTCGTTTTTCTTTATTTAAATAATGTTCAAGAAAATAAATTAAACCTATTTCAATAGGCCAATCATTATTTAAATGCCATACAAAATTGTGTCTAAATATATTTATAATAAGTTAAAAAATCATGTCTCTGGCTTTCTGATGGAAATATTTTTATCTGTAATTGTTTGTGAACACATTGTGATTCCGTAATTTTTTTTTTTTTAAGTTATTAATTTATTACATTATGGTTATTATTATTATTTGGGTTTTTTTGCATTGTCAACCGCTTAAAAAGCATAGTTATTTTTATCATTGTAGATTTGAACCTACCTGTGTACAAAATCAATGTTATACCCACTCTTTATTTATAATGTATTATACCATTTTTTACTGTAATTTAAGAGTGCAAAAACAGTCGAAAGCGTCTTCATTTGTTCCTTATGAGCGTCTGCCTTTTCATGATTAACAAATAAAAATCAGCGCATGAAAACAAGTGTTGAATTTGGTTAATATCTAAATGGATCAGCTGCGTCATTGAAATCCCACTCAAGAACAAATGCATTAAATACCGGATGATTTTTGGCCGACCATATCTGATTTTTAAATGAAAGATGATATATTCCCCTACAAAGTTTAGTGAAATCAATAACAGGATATTTCACTTATGACTTTTTTTTTCTCTCTCTCCAAAAGCACTGTTAAATAATTCAGATAAAGCTCCACGCACATTGTCTTGGTTCAACACGTGTTTTCATCATGGGTCCTGTGGGTTTATCAGTCCAGTTGTTTGCATCCTCACTGTTGTGTTCCTGTGAATCCAAGTGATGGATTGAAGTCTGCACACTCACAGTACAATTTAACAAACCCCACTGGACCAAATGAATGACAATGGAGTGCAGCAGTAAGGTGGTCTATTGCTCCTCTCACAAAGGAGCTGGGCATGACGGACATCTGCCCTCGCACTGTCACAGACTGCCCCGCATGTGTTGTCCTGAGACATGTGGATAGATACATTTAAAGATATATATAGATGGAAGGTTTGAGATATAGCTTGATAGAGTTGATAGGTCCAATTGGAACTGTTGGTAGCGGCAGCGTGAGGTCTGACTGATGAAACGAGGCCCAGGCTTTGTCTCAGTGCTCCGTTATGTCACCTTTAACCTCTGGGTCGCCGCACGACACACAGACGGCACGCGGTCAGACACAACAAGGCTGCGACTGTGCTGAGTGAGAGACACGGAGGATATGGAAGACAAATCGAACAAAGAGCACAAGAAAGGCATGACACAGATAAAAGTGATCCAGAATCTTCTTGTTTTGATCCCAAATCACGTTGATAAAGGCCTGCATATTATACAATCTGCACACTGCCCTCTGTTCATTTTCTGTAATGGATGGACAGCAGACTTCAGGGTCAGGGGTCACCTCTTCACAGAATGTTTAACAGCCTCCCTCTCCCTTCAAATAGCCAAAATATGGATGCTTGAACAAGTGTAGATCACCCAGTGCCTCCCACGTATACAACCCCCGAGCCTTCACGAGGGGCCTGCTGTGAAAGGAGAGGATACTCCCCTTTGTGGCCTTCCGGGAGCAGAGGGGTGGAGGAAAGGGCTGAAGAGACAAAGACAAGAGGAAAGACAGAAGGAGAAGAAAAGCAGAATGAGCTGCCAGAGCTGAAATACTGAGATTGTTAGCGAGCCGCGCTGAAAGACTGGTTTCACTAGCACCTCTCGGATTGGGTGATTTAGGACTCTCAGTGCCGCTCCAGCATGGAAGAAGTTTTAGCCGGGTTGTTTATACGGATTGATTTCACACTCAGCCTCCTGGCAAGTTAACAGGGCCTCTGGAGGGCTGTTCGTCAGATTAATATCTATATTAATGTGATATTAATGATAGCAGCTCTGGGCTTTTATGGCTTAGGTCTGCCGAGGGTAATTCCCTCTGAGGTCAAAGCAAACGGCCATAACTCTCTCCCGAACAATGCATGATGTCATCCCATAACAGAATATGTTGCTGTGATCAATTAATAATGTCTAAGAGATTACTGGTGCATGGGGTAGGCTATAACCACTTGTGATTCATGCTTGTAAAATACATTTCCTCATCCAGTATGATTGATAGATCCCTTCTCCTCTGTTCTCTTCCTTTCAGCATGACACGCTAGTGGAGCTGAGTGTTCAGATATTCTGATGTATTAGCTTTTATTGATTGCCCTAATAGCCGTCAGAGTAGTGGTGTGCGTTTGTGTGCGTGTGTGTGTTTGCTGTAGTCTGGCGGATGTTGAGACTACCTCCTGGTCGCAGACAGGCCTCAGACTCTCAGCTGAGTGGACTGATAAACGTTAAGCACCATCAGCGCCTCAGTCTGCCTCACACCAGATGAAGACAAAATCACTGATATGTTTTTATTTCTTATGCAAATAGATGTGTTGTTTTTACTATACTATACTATACAAATCAATGCAGTTTCATGCAGCAGACTTTTCTGTTTTGGCCTCCCTCTGCAGTGGCGACGTCACAGTGCTACTCGTGTGACTTCTGCCTTCCAGAGACACTGTGGAGTTGAGTGACTTAAGTTTGAATGGGACCTACTGGTCCGTGTCCCTCCCTTCCTGTCCCCTCAGTCAAAGAGATGAGACTGATCAGCTTGTGTGCTGCCATTCATGCTCCAGGTTGGGGCTGTTGTTATACGCCGGTGTGATTTCCACGGGGACAGTGGGCAGTACAGCAGGAGACACATGGAGGCGCTCAGCGGCCCGCGTGCTGCTGCCCGGATGAAAGGCAGATCAAGCACCGGCTGCAAAGCCTCTCCATGTTGCTCCCCAGCACTCAGTGTGTGTGTGTGTGTGTGTGTGGGATTGAAGGTGAGGAGGGCAGATGGCCTTATCCTCTTCTGTGGGGGCTGGTGTGAGGTTCCACTGTGCTCCCACGGGGCCACGCATTTTTCTCCTCCTGGCCCCAAACACACACAACTCACACGCGCTCCACATAAAACCCCTGCCTCCTCCGGAATAACCGTCCCAGAATTGACTGTATACCCGAGTCTCATCCATCCATCCATCAGTATATCTATTTTCTATTTATCTATTGCGTCCTTTGCCCCTGTTTCAACTATTTAACCCCTGGACTCTTCTTTTCAGCCGATTCATATGCAACAGCGGCGAGAGGGGTAGATCTGCTTGTAGGTTGACATCTGGCATTGTCATTCGGGACGTTAGAAAGTGTTATAGGGTTCTTCTCCCCATGCGTCGGGCTTTACAATAGTTCTCGGTGTGCTATTTGTGTGTCTTTATGCGCTGGGCTATTGTGTGTACCCAACTGTTATTCCTGTGAGTGACGAGGGCAGCTACTGTTACAGTACTCCCTCCCCGCCTCCCACTCAGCACGCCGTTGCCTCTGGCTGTGTGTTTGCGTATCCAACTTCCAACACATCTCCTGAAATGGCAGCTTGACGCTGCCTTATAAAAAAACACTGGAAAATGTATGTAATGGTCTGATGGACAGCGGCACCATGTAATTCCTATGTGACAGTCGCCTCGTGGTTTTTGGCCGTCTCCGTCTATTCTCAGGCGGCTGTTTCTCTCGGTGGGGTAGAGGTGCTGAACGGCCCCGTGATGTCAGACTCCTACTTTAGGGCGGGTTGGACCAAATGCTGGTCCGGGCCCTAGAGGCCAAAGTGAGGGACACACGTTGCTGCATTTGCCATTTTGTAAAACACTGTTTTTACTAATCAGAGGTAGATTTCAGAGTTGAATGTTTACTTTGCACCATTGGAAGAGAGACACCATGTGTTGTCCCCGAGGGAAGGATTTACAACATATGGACACTGTACTCCTGCCACATGCACATCCATGCACAGATGAGCTGACCCCCCCCCCTCCTGCCTCTAAAGATGTTTGCTGTTAGCTCAACTAATCCCAACTAAGCTGTCCATTTAGACCAACACTCAGAGGGCAACACTCACGTAGGGCATCGACTATGCACAGTCAAATAGAGGTTTGCCTTCTCTCTGTTACTGTCAGGGAGGGGGAGGAAGGTGGTTGTATTGCATGGTGCATTTTGTATGGTTTTCCATACGATTGTAACTGTGGTATGAACAGAGCCCAGGGGGGCCGGAGGAGGCAGATTTCCACCCTGGTGGATTAGCTAATAAGCACTCTTGTCTTTTCCTCACCTCCCTGTTTCCTTTCATCTCTTCTTGCAAGTCCTCATCTCCACTGCACACGTGAAGGCCGCGCACAGAAATCCACACATGTATTTTTGTTACGTTTCTGGTTTGCGATCGTACACTTGTGCCGCCTGCAGAGAAGGGCCTGCAGCTCGAGCAGAAGCTTGGTACAGAGCTTTTTCTATGCTAACGCGGGGATGTCGGACTGCATCGTTCCATCCACTACCTAACAGCTCACCAACTTATACAGTCTTTAGAGCCATTGTCTGCGAGACAATTGACCGTGACCCCAGGCCGCTCCCGAATGGTCTGAATGGGTCAGAGGGGAGCAGAGGCCGGAAGGCCTTGAGGTATGGCTGTTTAGCGGCTATCCCGAGGCTGCGAGTGACTGTTGCGATAGGGCCAGACGCCCGTGAGCGCGACGCCGGAAAGGCCTCAAACCTGCTCGTCCGGGAGGCAGGAGGCGCGTGATTGACAGTGATGAGGCAGAGAGCTGTGAAGGAGGATGGCGGACACTTTAGTGCGCTACCACAGCTGAGTCTCCTCATGCTCGTGTCATCGTGCATGCGTGCTCGGCCACAGGGAAATAGAGTGTCTTGGCGTCTGAGCCGCAGCGCCTCTACCCCCCCCAACCCCTCCTGACCCTGAGTCATGATGGCTTTTGAACAGTATAGCTGGGAGACAAATCCCCCCCCCACCCCACCTCCCAACCACCCACCCCGTCCTGCTGAAACATTCATGAAGGCTTAAGACCCTCTCCTCCACCTAATGTACCCTAACCGACCATTGTGGCCTCTCACTGGCTTTGCACCACCTCAATGCTGCTTCCCGGCATCTAACTTCTCAACACCCCGCCGCCGGTCATCTACGCCCTTACAGCAGTTTCCTGAGGGGACAAAGGATTACTGCCTAACAATTACCCCGAAAAAAAACATCCATTAAATCCAGCTTCAGGTATGAGGACGGCGTGCGCGCGTCCCCGGCTGACTCTGTCGTGCGCTCGCAGTGGCGCCGCGTTGTTCCCTCTCTTCTCTCTCCTCCCTCCTTCACGTGTGGTCATCGACGGCCTTTGTAATCTGACTCCTACGGGTTGCATTGATCTGTTAAGATTGTCACTTTAAAAAAAGAAAAAAGGTTTGACAGTTGATATCAACATCCTCAAGTGTTGGGACACGTAGAGGTGCACTGTGGGGACGTGAAGGTTGAGGCCCGTGGAGGAGAACTTTTATCATACCGAGTGGAGAAAGTAAGACCAGCTGCATCTACTTTTTTTTTTTTTTAACAGGCCTGACACAAGACTAGATGTGTTAGAAAAATTGAGCAGATTGACCTCA